GATTTTTGTCCAAATCCAACACACGACCGGGAATGTCAGTGGCATACATTGGACGTCCGTAGGGCTCTGAGGTACTACATTTCACAGACCGCGGAATTCCGCAGTTCTGAGGCTCTCTTCATATCCTTCCACCCCTCTTCCAGGGGTTGGAAAGTCTCCTCTTCCACTATTGGAAGGTGGATCAGAGCATGCATCGCCGGGGCATATCAGACGGAGGCCTTACCGATCCCCAGTCGGATCACGGCACACTCTACCAAGGAGTGCAGCCACTTCGGCGGCATGGGCCACCTAAGCCTCCATTGAGGAAGTATGTAGAGCAGCCACTTGGGCCTCTCCTTCCCCGTTCATCCGGCACTATAGGATCGATAGGTTTTCCTCTGCAGAGGCCTCCTTTGGTAGGAGGGTTCTGCAGCAGGTTTTAGACCAAAGTTCCACACAGGACCAGGCTATTTCCCACCCTCAGGGACAATGAGCTTTGGTATGTCCCATTGGTGGATTCTCCACCTCCAGTGCTGGAGAAGGGGCGTTGTCTTACCTGAACGCCTTTTCTCAGCACGGAGATGGAGAATCCACTCCCACCCTTCTAGGTCACGTAGGTCTAGGGTTAGTTGTTTTTTTTGTGTGTGTGTGTGTGAGCCACAACGTCTTGCTGTCAGTCAATGGCTTCACTCGTGTCAAGACTGGGATCTCGTGGTCCAGGATGGGCGTGGCAGCTTTGGTTGACTGATCTGATTGGGCAGGAATACAGTCTCGACCCACTGGTGGATTCTCCATCTCCGTGCTGAGAAAAGGCGTTCAGGTAAGACAACGCCCCTTTACATTCAGATGCTTGGCAACTGATTCATATTTATGACGGTCACAGTGTCCCAGGGTCATATGACGTGACCAAAACTGCTGCAACCAACCCAGCAGATGGGGGGAATAAAAACCAAACACTCCCCCCACCCCTGCTGCCAATCCTCAACAGAAATGCTCACAACAATGAAAACCTCAAACAGGAGGAAGAGCGCCGCCGGGCGGGCAGGCAGGTGTCTTGCTCGGCTATGGCTTAGGGGGCACTTTTTTCAGTGCCATTGTAACTTCGAACAGTCACTAAGTAAACTGTTGTAAGTCGAGGACTATCGGTACTTTATCACTTTTTCCGTTTTTGTTTTTTTTTTTTTTTGGTCGTCAAGTTTTTGACACCTTGCAAGGCGACTGGTGGTACTCGGATATTGCTATATCCTAAAAGTGGTACAATGGGTGAAAAGGTTGAAAAGCCCTGAACTAGAAGATCTCCAAAGTTCCTTTCAAACCTATGATTTTATGATTATTGCCAATATGTCATAGTATTGAGTTTACATCATAGGTCTCTTTTTAAGAGATTCAGAATGTGAAGGCTGTGTTGGTTCAGTGGGATTTGATAGAAAAATTGCAGCTCTAAATAGTTCTTTATGTTGTGCCTAATTCATGATCTTACTATTTCTTTCAAGCGTAATCAAGTTCTTAATCTTTTTTTGAGTTCAACAGTCTTGGTGGGAATTACCCTACATATAAAATTTAGTACCTGGCCAGTTAAGTGTGCCATCTAAAACAAAAGTGGCCTGTTCTGGAAGGATTTTAATAACAAATGAGGTTACTTGATAAATACTTCTGTGACATAATTGTGAAATAATTATTTTTCCGGCTATTTTGAAAAACAATTAAGATACATGGAAAAAATCATCAAATTGCCAGAGGTGTGTAATATTTGTAATGTACATTATGCATATTCATATGGTATTCAAATGATTAATATTAATGGCATATTTATTGACCTGGTTAGTGCCTACATTAATCTGCGGTTTGTGGAACAAGTTAGCATAGCATGGTTAACGTAGGATACTGAGCTACGAATTGGGCAGACGACCTTTTTTTGTTTCATATTTGTAGGCAGCAGCGATGCCACCAGGATGGCAAAACTGACATTTCTGTTCGCTCTCCTTAACCCCCAATGCCATTTTTAGGATATTTTGCGATCTAAGGGCAAAAGGGTGGCTTAAAAGTTTAAAGCTGAAAATGTACCTCTTTTGGCTGTCAGTGAAATAGCCGTATTTTCATTTAGTTCAGTATGCTAACTCAGCTACAGAGGACAGTTTACTAACAGAATAACAAAGTTGGAAGGGACCTTGGAGGTCTTCTAGTCCAACCCCTTGTTCGAGCAGAAGACCGTATACCAGTGGTGGCGAACCTATGGCACACGTGCCAGAGGCAGCACTCAGAGCCCTCTCTGTGGGCACGTGTGCCATGCCCCGGAGATGGCAACCATCCCTCTTCAACCAGCCGCCTGCTAACTCATCGAGGTCCCACATGGCTGGATGCATCCCAGCACCCATGTGCTCGCTGGCCCCTGTGTGCAGGGGGTGATGGTGTCAGGCAGCAGCCACCCCGGCCCCTGCCTCACCTTGCCCTGTGATAATTGCACCCCCGCCCCGCTTCGCCTTGCCTCACCCCGCAGGATGAGCCTCCTGCCAGAGACCCCCTGGATCTCCCCCAACCCTGCCCAGCCCCCATAGGCGTCCCTCCCCATGAGCAACATCGAGGTGATCACGCCCACCTTGGCCACACCCACCCAATCTGCCATGACCACCACAGCCACCGTCACCCATTGGGCCACGCCCACCCGGCACCTGGTGATAAATAAGTGAGTTTTGGGTTGCAGTTTGGGCACTCAGTCTCTAAAACAGCGGTTCTCAACCTGTGGGTCGCGACCCCATTTGGGGTTGAACGACCATTTCACGGGGGTCGCCAAACAACGCAGTCCGCCATTTTGTCCGCCATTTTTTTTCCTCAGCCGGCACGGGGGCGGCACCGCGCATGTGCACCATGCCGTGCACGCGCGCCGTGCATGGGGCAGCGCAGCGCATGCGCGACGCATGCTTATGGCCAGGGTCGCCGGTATAAAAAGGTTGAGAACCACTGCTCTAAAAGATTTGCCATCGCTGCCGTATACCATTCCAGACAAATGGCTGTCCAATCTCTTTTTAAAAGCCTCCAACGTTGGAGCACCCACAACGTCTGAAAAAAGCAAGCGTTTCCACTGATTAATTGTTCTCACTGTCAGGTTCCAGGTTGGGTCTCTCCTTGATTAGTTTTCATCTATTGCTTTTTGTCCTGTCTTCAGGTGCTTTGGGGAATAGGCACCCCTCCCCTCTTTTCTTTGTTGCAGACTTTTAATGCTACTGAATTTATTTGCTATTTTTTTCTCAGCATTAAGTCATTCTTTTTTAAAAAACAACAAGGAAATGTTCTTTTTAATAAAACATTAGATCTGGTTCCCTCAAACTAGAACACACTGTTTGTCTTAGGGAAAGCATGCGGCGCTGTAAACATATTTTTCCCCTAGATTATACAATTGTGCAGATTGCTAGGTGAGCGATATATTATTTGCTACAGCAGGGGAAACAAAGCTGCTAAATCCGTTGAGTGTTTCAAAAAAAGAAATTCAAGCACAATCCAAAAGATTTTTTTTTAATGAAAGTAGACTTGTTGTTGTTAGTTGCAAAGTCGTGTCCGACCCATCGCGACCCCATGGACAACGTTCCTCCAGGCCTTCCTGTCCTCTACCATCTTCTGGAGTCCATTTAAGCTCATTCTTACTGCTTCAGTGACTCCATCCAGCCACCTCATTCCCTGTCGTCCCCTTCTTCTATTGCCCTCAATCTACAAGCCGAAAGTAGACTAAGATGTAATAAATAAATAAAACAACATCATTTTGTTTGCTTGTAGCATCAGGTATTCTGAAATAAACTGCCCTTATATACAGGTAGTTGTAATAATAATAAAGTTGGAAGGGACCTTGGAGGTCATCTAGTCCAACCCCCTGCTCAGGCAGGAAACCCTATACCATTTCAGACAAATGGCTGTCCACTTCTTGACTTACGACCACAACTGAGCCCAAAATGTCCATTGCTAAGCAAGACAGGGTGTTAAAAGTGAGTTTTGTTCCCATTTTACAACTTTTACAACCTTTCTTGCCACAGTTGTTAACTGTTAACAACTTCACTGCAGTTGTTCAGTTAGTAACACAGCTGTTAAGTGAATCTGGCTTCCCCATTGCTTTGCTTGTCAGAAGATCTCATGACCCTGGACACTGCATACATCCTAAACACCATGCCATTTGCCAAGCATCCGGTTTTTGATCACATGACCACAGGAACCATTTGGGAAAAGGTTGCAAGTCACATTTTTCAATGCTCTTGTAACTTCAGTCAGTCACTAAACAAATCATTGTAAGTTGAGGCTACTTAATAATAGTCGTCATCATCATCTCGATAGGTAGACAAAAATGCCAAATCCAGTCTGAACATCTGGCTGACTGTGCAATGATGATTAATGATAATGGTGATGATGATGATGATGTTGGAAGGGACCTTGGAGGTCATCTAGTCCAACCCCCTGCTCAGGCAGGAAACCCTATACCATTTCAGACAAAGGGCTGTCCAGGCTCGTCTTAAAAACTTCCAGTGTTGGAGTGCATTCTGGAGGCAGGTTGTTCCACTGGTTAATTATTCTGTCAGGAAATTTCTTGTATATGCAAATTCTATTTTTCAGAAGTAATGGCCACGTACATAACTGTTTTCCATAAATTTATTTCTTCTCGCTACATTGATTTAAAATTTGGGATGAAACCCCAGTCATTGTGGTTTATTTAAAAAAAAAAGTGGTTTAATACATTGTTGAAGTGAAACTGTGTTTAATTTGAAATGCCGCATCCAGAACACATTGCCTACTGTCCAGCAAATAGCAATATATCTTTAAGTGGCAAAACACTGTCATATTGGAAGGAATGGCTGGCACACCCCAATTCATATTTGCTAAATGCAGGAAGCCTTCAAGCCTTTGGCTTGAAAAGCCGCTCGGGATCCAGTTCTTCAAAGGAGCCTTGAAACTGAGCACTCACTGTACCAAACCTGTGTATGAAATTAGCACCTGTTGATGTATTAATAAAAATCATTTCTTTTTTTCTTTCTGTTATGCAGCTTTACCAACAAGGCCGACTCTGCCAGCTGGGTAGCGAATTCTGCGAACTAGAAGTTTTTGCAAAGGTGCTTCGAGCTTTAGATAAAAGGTACATTTTGCAAATATTGCTCCCCTTTCGCTTCCTTGTATTATGGATCAAGCAGGTTCTGCCAGTAAAAAACTTCCTCAGCCCAATTCAAATGCCGATAAGCATTTTTTAAAAAAAGTCCTGCTAATTTAAGTGCAAATAAACTAAGATTGTCCTTGATGGAGGCAGTATGAGGGGGCTGTCAAACCTTTATGCAGGCTAGCTTGTCCATTGCAGTTACACAGTAGTTTCCTCTTAATTTAAAATAGGGCTTTTAAAGGTAGCCCTTGACTTACAACCATTCATTTAGCAACCATTTGAAGTTACGCCTTTTGTAAAAAGTGACTTAGGACCCGTCCCCGTAAGGCACAGCCATTGCAGCAACCCCAGACAGACAATCAAAATTTGGGTGCTTGGCAACCGAGATGCATTTACAGTGGTTGCAGCCTCCCGGGGTCACATGATCCCATTTGCGACCGCCCCAGCCAGCTTCTGACAAGTAAAGCAAAGGGGAGAAGCCAGTGTCAACGCTGCAAATATTGTATATTCTTGCTTTTGACAATATGCAGAACTGTCTGGTATTTATGGGGTTAATACAGAGCAGAAGGGGGTGGGGGTAAAGCCGAGGAAAGAAAGAGGAAGAAAACCTTTGACCTTCACACTAATTGGATAATGTGATATATGGCTAATTTAGGGAGGGAACATGCTGATAATTTAACTGCTCAGAGGAAGAGAACTTAGATCCTAGCATCCCTCCATTGTGTAACATTTTGTAACAATAAAAGACTTTTAGGAAAATAAATGCCTGGAAGTTCTTTGAAATGTTTCATTAGCCGGAACCATAACAGCCAGATTCGCTTAATAACTGCATCATTCACTCAGTAACTGCAGTGCTTCCCTTAACAACTGTGGCAGCAAATAGGGCACAGCTCACTTTACAACCGCTTCCTTTAGCAGTAGAAACTCCAGTCCCAATTGTGATCACAAGTCAAGGGCTACCTGTGTTACTGGAAACCACTAGCGAACTCTTCTTGGGTGTGTTCCCTTAGAGTAGGAGAGGAACAGCCTGAACAAACTGCATCCAGTTTTGGTCACCACGATGTAAAAAAAATGTTGAGACTCTAGAAAGAGTGCAGAGAAGAGCAACAAAGATGATTAGGGGACTGGAGGCTGAAACATATAAGGAATGGCTGCTGGAATTGGGGATGTCTAGTTTAATGAAGAGAAGGACGAGGGGGGACATGATAGCAGTCTTCCAATATCTCAGGGGCTGCCCCAAAAGAAGAGGGAGTCAAACTATTCTCCAAGGCGCCTGAAGGCAGGACGAGAAGCAACGGATGGAAACTGATCAAAGAGAGAAGCAACTTAGAACTGAGGAGAAACTTCTTGACAGAACAATTAACCAGTGGAACAGCCTGCCTCCAGAAGCGGTGAATGCTCCAACACTGGAAGTTTTTAAGAAGAGACTGGACAGCCATTTGTCTCAATTGGTATAGGGCTTCCTGCCTGAGCAGGGGGTTGGACTAGATGACCTCCAAGGTCCCTTCCAACTTTATTATTATTATTACTATTATTATTATTATTATACCAAGGGCTGGGTCAAATGCATCATGAGTCTGGAGTCTCTACACCAGACATGTCAAAAGGCCCGCGGGCCAGATCCGGCCCGTGATGTGTTTAGATCTGGTCTGCAAGCAGACTCGGAGGAGGAGGAGGTGATTTAGTATATAGGGATGTGTGTGTGAGCTGAATTGGCAGCTCCAAAGAGGCTGGGGGAAGAGTCAGCTCGAGCTGCATTGTTGCTGGGGCTCTGCTGAGGCTCCAGGATTGGTGCACATTGCTTCTGGTGGCCTGGGGGGAGGGGTGGCAGCTGCACACAGTCTTTGGGGGGGCGAGTCAGCTGGAGCTGCGGGGCTTGGCAGGAACCCCAGAATCAGCGCACGCAGCTCCAGCTGATGAGCGCTGCCGTGAAAAGGCCAGCTAGGCAGTGAGCTACTGCATGAGGGAGGAAAGAGGATATAAAAGGAGGCGTTTTGGCGGGAAGGAGGAAAAGTGAGGGGAGAGACAAGGCGATAGGAAGGAGAGGAAGGGGATAGGATAGGATAGGATAGGATAGGCTTCTGTGGGGCAAGACTGAAAGAGAGAAGGGGACAGCAATTGGCATCCCGGTTCTAACTCCAGCTCCCCTTGGCGCCCATTTGCATTGACCATAATAGATCAGATTCTTCTGTATAGATTGCATGGAATAAATGGGCAGTGCTTTTGAACTCTATCCTTGTTTTTTGCACCTGACACTTAGTTTCTCCTCCTCAAGTTTCTCCTCCTCAAAATTTAATCATAGGGACTACTGATGCAATCATAGGGACTACTGATGCTGGGGAAGCTGCGTGCATGTGTTTACTTGTTTGCTGGCTTTGTTTGATTTCTATGCCTCCCATCTCTCCGAGGCTGCTCTAGAGGGCTTCAGCAAAAGTACCATACAAATATCTAAAACGATAACTAGAGACCGTACGTTTAAAATTCTCTTAAAATTCAATTAAGTTTCTTGGCTTAACATTTTTTCCACTGGGTGTGTATACCGTCTCTGGCTGTAATGCTGAGTGATAGAGCCCTTCCTGCTTAGCGGATTTGAATCAGAGTTCCAGTTTTTCATTTTGTATTTGTGTTTTCCCCCTTTGCTGAAGACGTGGCGCAAGTTTATTCTGTAATATAAAATGCGGGGGAGCTGTTGGGATGAGTTGGGTGGATGTGTTAAAATTTCACCTGCTGTTCTGACTTCCTCTGCAGCTGCAGAGAGGAAAAACTGATACCAGTGTGAGGAATGGGTGGGAATCTATTTAAAGGAATTAAACCAATAGTTGGACTGTTCAATGCAGAAACTTCCATGAGGCTCTACTCCTAAGCATGTTTTTCAAGAATACATTCCCGCTTGATAATCGCCTTCCTGAATCTGCTATTTTTTAAAAGTTCCATTTGACCTCCCAAAATTTGCCAGTGACTGTAGCTGGCTTGCATTTTCATATGGCAAGCAGAGTACAGGTAGTCCTTGACTTATGACCATAATGGAGCCTGCCCATTAGGGTCATATATGATGATGATGATGATGATGATGGAGAAGGAGGAGAAGGAGAAGGAGAAGGAGGAGAAGAAGTAGTTGGAAGGGACCTTGAAGATCATCTAGTCCAACCCCCTGCTCAGGCAAGAAACCCTATATCATGTTGGACAAATGGCTGTCCAGTCTCTTCTTAAAAACTTCCAGTGTTGAAGCATTCACCGCTTCTGGAGGCAGGTTGTTCCACTGGTTAATTGTTCTAACTGTCAGGAAGTTTCTCCTTAGTTCTAGGTTGCTTCTCTCCTTGATTATTTTCCACCCATTGCTTCTTGTCCTGCCTTCAGGCGCTTTGGAGAATAGCTTGACTCCCTCTTCTTTGGGGCAGCCCCTGAGATATTGGAAGACTGCTATCACGTCCCCCCTCGTCCTTCTCTTCGTTAAACTAGACAGACCCAATTCCAGCAACCGTTCCTTATATGTTTTAGCCTCCAGTCCCCTGATCATCTTTGTGGTGATGGTTGAATAGCAGCAGGTCACCACATGACCAGATCCAATTTTACGACCTTTTTTGCAACAACTACAGGTAGTCCTCGACCTGCAACACTTTGTTTAGTGACATTCAATGTTACAATGGCACTGAAAAATGTGACTTACGTCCATTTTTCATACTTATGACCTTTGCAGCATCCCCATGATAATGTGATCAAAATTCAGATGCTTGGCAACTGGTTCATATTTATGACCGTTGCTGTGTCCCAGGATCATGTGATCAACTTTGGCAGCCTTCTGACAAGCAAAGTCAGTGGGGAAGCCAGATTCACTTAATAACCATGTTGCTAACAATGGCAGTGATTCACTTAACAACTGTGGCAAGAAAGTTCGTAAAATGGGACAAATCTTACTTAACAACAGAAATTTTGGGCTCAATTTTGGCCATACGTCAAGGACTTAACCTGTATTAAATCCATTGCTGGCTATGGTGCACTTTGGCCAAAAAAGTAAATGCCAGTTTTCAGTAAAAACATACATTGTGGTCGTGTGACTGTAGGATGCTGCAAACAGCCATAAATGCAGGCTACTTGCTGGGCACCTGAAATTCGGTCATGTGACTTTTTGTGAGGGGGTTGGCTGTCGGAACTTTGGAGCTGAGTCATAAGTGTGGGGATCCACCCTAACTTTGAAAGGTGGCTAAACAAATCAGTTGCAAGTCAAGGACTACCTGCATTTTTAAGAGACATAATAAAGACTGCAATCTGCCAGCATTGCTAGAAGGCAGGAAAGTATTCTTATCTCCACTGGTGCTTCTTTTGTCTTCTAGGCATCTCCTTCACCACTGCTTTCAGGCGCTGATGGATCACGGAGTAAAAGTCGCTTCCGTCTTGGCCTACTCATTCAGCAGGAGGTGTTCCTACATTGCAGAATCGGATGCTGCCGTAAAAGAAAAAGCGATCCAGATCGGGTTTGTCTTAGGTAACTCTCTGCAGACATAATATTAGCCACTTCACTTCTTTACAGGTACCTTCAAGGTTATGTGAAAATGTAGCACTTTGTCTTTTTAAAAACAAACCCTCCCTAGCAAACTGGACATGGGGAGTTTAGTTTGTCTCATTAAGTCAGTGGTTCTCAACCTTTTTAATGCCGCGACCCCCAACCGGTCGTAGGTCGAGGACTACTCAACCGGTCGTAAGTCGAGGACTACTCAACGGGTGCAGCACCGTTTGCAGAATGGGACTTTTGGCGGGCTCAGCAGGGCAGAGACAGCCTGGACAATTCCTATTGGCTTTTGAAAGCCAATAGACTTAGACTCTATTCAAGAGAGTCTCTTCTATTGGCTTTCAAAAGCCAATAGAATAAAAGGGAGTAGCACAGCTAAGGAAAAGGGGGAAAAAATGGCGGACTGCGTTGTTTGGCGACCCCCGTGAAATGGTCGTTCGACCCCAAATGGGGTCCCAACCACAGGTTGAGAACCACTGCATTAAGTAGATCGGGGGTGTCAAAATCAATTTCATTAAGGGCCACGTCAGCATTGCGTATGCCCTCAAATTCCAAACAGGCCAGGGCTCTTTAAGACTAAAACCAACAATTTCTGGGAGAGAACATACATTTCTCAGATCAATTTGCCCTACTGAGTTGCTAAAAGAAGGAGAATTACAATCTTCATTTTGAAAAAAAATTAGAAGGAAAGATAATGTTTAAAATGTAATAAGACGCTCCCTAATTTAGAGTTCATTTCTTCTTAAACATTAAATGCCATTACATTAATTACCACTTTAGGCCTTACTCATAGTCACCCATGCCTTAGTAACCCCCCTTTTTGGATTACTGAAATGTACTCTACATGGGGCCATCCTTGAAGACCATCTGGAAGTGGCAAATGGTCCACAATGCAGCAGCATGTGCAGTTTTGGCTACCCCACCATTTTTTGTTAAAGCAAAACCTACCATCATTGTTTATATATCAGTTGATGTGTATTTTATATGTCTATAAAACTTGACTGTTGAAAAATCACCCAGTAATTGACTCCTCTTCTTAATCAGTATGCTTAAATATTAACAGACAGCTTCAATTTCTTATTTAGACCTTCTGTAGTTTCAAACAGGATAAATTTGACCCAACGCTTATGTTGTTAGCATTAGAGTCAAGATCGCACGTCAGTGTCTTTTAAAATAAGATCAGTTGTGTTTTGAAAATAAGCAGTGATATTTTGATCTTTCTAGGGGGGTTCCTGTCTGATGCTGGCTGGTACAGTGATGCCGAGAAGGTGTTCCTTTCCTGCCTTCAGTTATGTACCCTTCATGATGAGATGCTCCACTGGTTTCGTGCCGTCGAATGTTGCGTCAGGTAAGCATTGCTCTGTTTTGAAGGCTGAAAAAAATTCAAGCAGCAGAATGCATCTCTGCTTGTACGAAGGGATTATCCAAATGTTACAACACATGATTGTTTTTTTTCTCCTCCCCAAACAGGAGGAACAGGATGAAGGGGAAAAAAAATGATATCTGTAAACAGTCTTTCCTTTGTCTGACCTATTCCTCACACTTGCAGAGCAGAGAGATTGGAGAAGAAGGGGTTACAAGAGAGTAAGCAGTTGGGGAATACACCAAGCAGCTTGTGTAGTGCACTTGCAGCTGCTGGTGTCAGCACATTTCTTTCTGTCTGTTCCACATTGTGTGCCTACTTACTCTCTTGTAATCCCTTCCTCTACAATGAATGTAAATGCAAACATTAATTCAATTCTGTGAAGTAATTATCAAGATGTTACAATGTATGATTGTTTTTTCTCTCCTCCCCAAACTCAGATAGAGGAAGAAAAGAAAATGATTTCTGTAAACAGTCTCTCTCGCAAGTGACCCATTCCCCACACTTGCAGAGCAAGGAGATTGGAGAAGAAGGGATTACAAGAGAGGAAGCAAAATGTTTCTGTAGTGCACTTGCAGCTGCTGGTGCCAGCACATTACTTTCTATGTGTATTCCCCATTGTGTGTCTACTTAACTCTCTTGTAATCCCTTTCTCTACAATGAATGTAAATGCAAACATTAATTTTTTTCTTGTTAATTCTAAGGGGTAGTGGAGTGATTAGCAGGCAAACAAAAGTGGAAGGTATGAACCTGATTAGTCATGCAGTACAGTTGTGATCATGTGATTTTTCCACTTAGTGACCACTTAGCAACAGAATTGCTGATCCCAACTGAGGTCACTAAATAAGACTACCTATATACTGAATTCAGTAGAGCTGTCAATATCCAAGATACCTTAGGCTTAGAAGATATTTCCTATTTACAAAACCATCTACAACCAGAGGATAAAAATTAGAACGTTGCTCTGCTCATTCCCAAATTGGAAGATTACAGGAACCAATGGAATACTGAATCCATAGAAATATGGCAAGCAACAGAAGGATCAGTACAAGTTCTAATTGTAGGAGGACTGGCAGAATCGGGTCGGAGTTAAAAGGGGGGTCAGCCTAGTCCAGTGGTTCTCAACCTGTAGGTCCGGACCCCATTTGGGGTCGAACAACCATTTCACGGGGGTCGCCAAACAACGCAGCCCGCCATTTTTTCCCCCTTTTCCTTAGCTGTGCTACTCCCTTTTATTCTATTGGCTTTTGAAAGCCAATAGGAATTGTCCAGGCTGTCTCTGCCCTGCTGAGCCTGCCAAAAGTCCCATTCTGCAAACGGTGCTGCAACAGTTGAGTAGTCCTCGACTTATGACCGGTTGAACAATCCTCGACTTACGAGCAGTTGGGGGTCGCGGCATTAAAAAGGTTGAGAACCACTGTGCTAGATATTCAAGCCGGTTTTAGAAAAATTCAAGGAACATGAGCCAGTTCTGCTGATGCATGTTGGATAATTGGGAAAGTTGAAAAATAGCCAAAGAAGGAAGTTCGTGCTTCAAAAAGCAGAGCAATGGATTGTGGATTGGGTGTCAAGCTGTGGTGTGTGGTTATAAAGGCAATCAGAACATCTCCTCCTTATGAGAAACCTACATACAGATCAGGAAGCTACAGTATGGACAGTACATGATGAAACCCATTGGCTTCAGGTTGGCAAAGGAGTGACAAGGCTATATTCTGTCCTCATTTATTCAGCCTACAGGCTGATTATACATTAATTGGGGCTGGTTTGTAAGACAACAAGCATGATTTCAAGATTGGAGGAGGAAATATTAGTAATATACATTAGGCTAATGACAAAGGTCATTGTTGTCACTTTGATTATTTTTTTTATCTTGCCCTGTAGATACACCTCCACGTAGAGCAAGGGTCTTCAAACGTGGCCCTTTTATGAGTTGTGGACTTCAACTCAGAATCCCTCAGCCAGGCACGCTGGCTGAGGAATTCTGGGAGTTGAAGTCCACAAGTCATAAAAGGGCCACATTTGAAGACCCCTTATGTAGAGAAAGCCTGCTGGGCTGGCTGAAGTGCTTAAGCACTTCTAACTTTTTCCTTTACAAACTGGTTGTACACAGTACCACTTTATAATGCCTTGGTAAGACCAGACCTGAAATACTGCATCCAGTTTTGGTCGCCACAATTTAAAAAGATGTCAAGACTCTAGAAAGGGTACAGAGAAGAGCTACAAAGGTGATTAGGGGACTCGAGGCTAAAACACATGAAGAATGGTTGCTGGAATTGGGTATGTCTAATTTAATAAAAAGTAGGAGTGACATGATAGCAGTCTTCCAATATTTGAAAGTCTGCCACAAAGAAGAGGGGGGGTCAATCTATTTTCCAAAGCACCAGAAGGCAGGACAAGAAGCAACGGATGGAAACTAATCAAGGAGAGAAGCAACCTAGAAATAAGGAGAAATTTCCTGACAGTGAGGACAATTAATCAGTGGAACAACCTGCCTCCAGAAGCGGTGAATGCTCCAACCCTGGAAGTTTTTAAGAAGAGACTGGACAGCCATTTGTCCGAAATGGTATAGGGTTTCCTGCCTGAGCAGGGGGTTGGACTAGATGACCTCCAAGGTCCCTTCCAACTGTTATTCTGTTCTGGTTGCTGACCTCAACTCAAAACAGTTCTTATATTGACCATTCAAAGTTACAACAGCACTGAAAAAAGTGACTTATGACCATTTATCACACTTAACCGTTGTAGCATCCCCACTCTCACATGATCAAAATTCAGACACTTGCAACTGACTCATTTATGACAGTTGCAGTGTCAGCTATGCTGACTCAGGAATTCTGGGAGTTTAAGTCCATGAGTCATAAAAGAGTCGAGGTTGCTTACCCCTGACCTAAGATCTTGGTATCATGTTTTGTGACCTGATAAGCAAAGAGAATGGTGAAGCCATACTCACTTAACAACTGTGTGACTAACTTAACAACTGCACTGATTCACTTAACTACTGTGGCAAGAGAAGTGGTAAAATGGGGCAAAACAAATGTCATAAATTTTGGGCTCAGTTGTGGTCATAAGTCGAGGACTACTTGTATTTCAGTCCATGCTACTTTTATGTTTCACTGTTTGCACAACAGACCGATTAAAGGAGGAAGATCCTGTTCTTTCTTTCTTTTTTTTTATGAGTAACTTAGAGGAAGGAACCAACGCTGTTCTTCCTTCATTAATCAGTAACATTTAGTGTGTTAATACCAATTATTTATTAAGGCTGAATTGACAAACTGGCTCACCTGCCTTTGGGTCTTCCTTTAATGCCTTAGAGCCAGTATCTACTTCCCCTCAGTTGTTTTTTTACCATGGAAAAGTTTGTTTTGGCAAAAAAATTGTGGGTGGGGAAGTTTAATGATAGGAAAAGCTTACACATTATTATTATTATGGATCATCGCACAGTCAGCCAGATGTTCAGACTGGATTTGGCATTTTGTCTACCTATCGAGTCCTTACCCAGGACCTGGGATAGGCAGATGTGGATGTTTGATGGTATTACAGATATCGTCGCAGGATGGAAGCAGTTCCTAGTAAGGCCGCCTTTTGCAATTGACTAATAGCGAATTTGTCAATGCCAATGGTGTTCAAGTGGTGCTCCAGTTGTTTTGTTGTTGTTGTTGTTGTTGTTGTTGTTGTTGTTATTATTATTATTATTATTATTATTATTATTATTATTATTATGGATCATCGCACAGTCAGCCAGATGTTCAGACTGGATTTGGCATTTTTGTCTACCTATTGAGTTCTTACCCAGGACCTGGGATAGGCAGATGTGGGTGTTTGATGGTATTACAGATATCGTCGCAGGATGGAAGCAGTTCCTAGTAAGGCCACCTTTTGCAATTGACTAATAGCGAATTTGTCAATGCCAATGGTGTTCAAGTGGTGCTCCAGTTGTTCAGGTATTGCACCCAAGGAGCCTATTACTATTGGTACTACTTTTGCTTGCTTTTGCCACAGTCTTTCTATTTGTAGGTTGTTGTTGTTCTTGTTGTTCTTGTTGTTGTTGTTGTTATTATTATTATTATTATTGTTATTATTATGGATCATCGCACAGTCAGCCAGATGTTCAGACTGGATTTGGCATTTTGTCTACCTATCGAGTCCTTACCCAGGACCTGGGATAGGCAGATGTGGATGTTTGATGGTATTACAGATATCGTCGCAGGATGGGAGCAGTTCCTAGTAAGGCTGCCTTTTGCAATTGACTAATAGCGAATTTGTCAATGCCAATGGTGTTCAAATGGTGCTCCAGTTGTTTTGGGATTGCACCCAAGGAGCCTATTACTATTGGTACTACCCTTGCTTGCTTTTGCCACAGTCTTTCTATTTGTAGGTTGTTGTTGTTGTTGTTGTTGTTGTTATTACTATCGATCATCGCACAGTCAGCCAGATATTGAGACTGGATTTGGCATTTTGCCTACCTATCAAGTCCTTACCCAGGACCTGGGATAGGCACATGTGGATGTTTGATGGTATTACAGATATCGTCGCAGGATGGAAGCAGTTCCTAATAAGGCCGCCTTTGCAATTGACTAATGGCAAATTTGTCAGTGCCAATGGTGTTCAAGTGGTGCTCCAGTTGTTTTGGGGTTGTTGTTGTTATTATTATTATTAAAAATGTGTATGCCATTTATATGCCACCCTACCCCCAGTTACTCTGGGCAGTTTGAAAATTGTTAAAAAAACATTTAAACACAAGGAACAATATAAATACACACAAAAACACAAAACCAAAGAACAGAAACAGCAGGGAATACAAACCTGGATGGAAACAAGGAAAAGGGAGAAAAAAAGGGGGAGTCAGTCATTTTGGGCAACAGCCTTAGTGGAGAACCGCATCTTTGGGACCCTTTGAAATACAGTAGAGTTGGGGGGGAGGCTGTTCAAATCTATTAAAGATACAAATGGGAGAAAAAGCAAAATACAGAAAATGTACACAATTATCTGCCTCTGTGATTTTGTCGGGTTATTTTATTTTTATTTTTGAGAAAATTTTATTGATTTTCTAGTTTTACATTTAAATATTTGAAAAGCAACGTGGCGGCTCATTTGATCAATAATTCCATAACATACAAATATCTTTAGTACAGATCTCAAACTATTACATTAAACATTTCCTCTCTTTTCCCCTTGGTATTTACTGTCTCATATTTAAATTAATACACTTCTCATTATATCGAGTAAATAAAAGTAACTTTCTTAACATTTATCAATATTTTTTTAGTTTATACATATCCTAGTTGTTTTAACCTTCAATCTTTTTTAGACAATCAATGTCCTGGTTGGTGTTTCCCAATTTTTAGTTTCCCATTAATATTTAAATTTAACGTTTAATATTTATTTATTCAGGCAAAGGTGAGAAATCTTTCCGATTCCTTAATAATTGTGCAATTTCAATACAGGTATTCCTCAGCTTACAACCATTTGCTCAGGGGCCATTTGAAGTTAACAACAGCACTGGAAAGAGTGGCTTACAGCTGTTTTTCACACTTAACGACCATTGCAGCATCCCCACAGTCACATGATCTTAACTTTAGATATTTGGCAATTGGTTTATATTTACGACGGTTGCAACGTCCTGGGGTCACGTGATCACCTTTTGTAGCCTCCTGACGAGAAAAGTTTACGGGGGGGGGCACCAGATTCACTTAATAACTGTTAGTAACTTAACAGCCACGGTCATTTACTTAACCGTGGCAAGAACGGTCGTAAAATGGGGCAAAACTCAGCTGCCTCGCTTAGCAATAGAAATGCTGGGATCGATTGTTGTAAACCGAGGACTCCCTGTAGTCTTGTAAGCGAAGCATTCCAAGTTTGAGGGTCATCACACAGGTGCCTGGATCTGTTTCCTAGGTTACTGCACGTCCGGAATGGCAACTGTAAATACCACTTGGGAGAAGAAACCTTCAAATTAGCGCAGTCTTATATGGAAAAACTAGCAGAGCACGGCCAGCAAGCCAACAAAGCTGCACTCTACGGGGAGCTGTGTGCTCTGCTCTTTGCAAAGAGTCATTACGATGAGGTGAGTCTAGATAATATCACTAGCACTGATGAGGCTACCTAGTTTGGGTCATGAAGCGTCTGCAAGAAAGCCACCAAGATCAGGAAGGACCCCTTGTGTCAACCCTGAGCTACAAATATTCTTCCTTATTGGTATTTGTTTGTTTGCTTGTTTATCAGATTTCTGTCCCAACTTTATTATTTTACAAGTCACTCAAGGTGGCGAATATGTATCCTCCTCCTATTTCCCCACCAAACAACCCTGTGAGGTGGATTGGGCTGAGACAGAGTGACCGGCCCAAAGCCACCCAGCTGGCTTTCCTGCCTAATATGAGAGTAGAACTTGTCGTCTCCTGGTGATTGGCCCAAACCCGCCCAGCCAGCTATCGCACGTAAGGCGGGACTAGAATTCACAGTATCCTGGTGATTGGCCCAAAGTCACCAGCCAACTTCCATGCCTAAGGCAGGACTAGAACTCACCGTCACCTGGTGATTGGCCCAAAATCATCAGCTTTCATGCCTAAGGTGGGATTAGAATTCACAGTCACCTGGTGATCAGCCCAAAGTCACCCAGCCCACTTTGATGCCTAAGGCAGGACTAGAACTCACCATCACCTGGTGATTGGCCCAAAGTCATCAGCTTTCATGCCTAAGGTGGGAGAAGAACTCACAATTGGCTGCAGCTTCCACTTCTTTCTAGTAACACCCCCACATTTAAGTTGTCCTTCCTCCTCCCCCCAACAAATGATTCTGTGCTGTTTGGAGGAGCAGGACTCCCATCCAAATCATCAACCAGAGTCACCTGGAAAACAAATCGGTGAATAAAATGAGTGCATTCCTGAAAACAGCTTCTGCATTCAGCACGATTCTCTGGGTTTTGTGTTGAATAATAAGGCAGCCTGAGTGGTGCTGATTTGGGGAGATTGTGGGGATTGAAATTCAGCTTCTCCAGAGGGGCCAGTTAGTGGAAGACCGTTGTAAAATTGTGGGATGTGACCAGCCTGTGTTTTCTTTTAAATCTCTGTAGCCTTAGTAACAAATGCTTTTCCAAACTTTTGTTGTGTGCCCCATAGGCTTACAAATGGTGTATAGAAGCAATGAAGGAGATCTCGGTTGGCTTGCCTGTAAAAGTAGTAGTGGATGTTTTACGACAAGCCTCAAAGGTAAGTTGAACAATTACTTATATCAGGAGTCTTCAACCTTGGCGACTTTAAGACTTGTGGACTTCAACTCTCAGAATTCCTCAGCCAGCAAAGCTGGCTGAGGAATTCTGGGAATTGAAGTCCACAAACTCCTAAAGTTGCCAAGGTTGGGGACCCCTGACTTATATGTTGCTGAAGAGGACAGGAAAAAGGACCATTTTTCCTTGAGGATAGAGCCTAAGCCAGGGGTAGGCAACCTTGGCTCTTTTATGACTCGGGAACTTCAACAGCTGTGCTGGCTCAGGAATTCTGGGAGTTGAAGTCCACGAGTCATAAAAGAGCCAAGGTTGCCTACCCCTGGCCTAGGAGAACCAGATTCTCAAGAGAAAAATAAGCATTTGCAAAATTCATAAAACTCTTCCCAGAGGCAGAGGGAAGAATACAGGTAATCCTTGACTTACGACCACAATTGAGCCCAAAATTTTATGTTGCTAAGGGAGACATTTGTTAAGTCAGTTTTGCCCCATTTTACGACCTTTCTTGCCACAGATGTTAAGTGAATCGCTGCAGTTGTTAGTAACACAGTTGTTAAGTGAATCTGGTTTTCCCATTGACTTTGGTTGACAGAAGGTCACAAAAGGGGATCACATGACCCCGGGACACCGCGACTTTCATAAATACGAGTCCGTGGCCACACCTTTGAATTTTGATTACAAGACTATGGGGATGCTCCTAAGTGTGAAAAACGGTCATAAGTCCCTTTTTTCAGTGCCGCTGTAACTTTGAACGGTCACTAAATGAACTGTTGTAAGTCGAGGACTACCTGTACCTAAACATTGACCCTCTGCCTATGTCATGATTCTGACAGACGAAACTCTTCAAAATAACTTCGAGGCATTGTTTTCCTTAAAGAATCTTTATTTTGAGTAGCATAATATTGGCACTGCATAATCGAAGCCAAAAACTGGATTCCCCTCCCCTGAGCACATAGTATCAAAGCACAATTCCCTCCTCTAATTAACAGCCATAAATCACGTTCCCCAATTAGCTTGAACCCCGGGCTTCCTCTCCATTTCTCCAGCCCCCAATTCCTTATCAGCTCCAGTTACAATAACCTTGATTCTCACACCAAGTTTAGTGTTGTTATGTCTAACTCAGTGTTTCTCAACCTTGCTGGCTGTGGAATTCTGGGAGTTGAAGTCCACATGCCTTAAAATTGTCAAGGTTGAGAAACACTGGTCTAACTGGATCCCGTTCACTTTCCCCCCTCCCAGCATCATCTAACTCTAAAAGCAAAAGGGAAAAGATGGCTACAGTTCCATCTGTTGTCAATGAAAACATCCGATGTTAGCAGCATTGACATCCTACACACACTGTAGTAATTGAGATTGCAGGTTGAGTTTTAGGAGCTCATTCTCGGCAAGGGGGATGGCAACAAGAAGATGGGACGGGGCTTTGAATATCTGTGGAGTCTTAATTTCTTCCATCTGTTTTAGGCTTGCGTTGTGAAACGTGAATTTAAGAAAGCCGAGCAGTTGATAAAACATGCAGTGTACCTAGCACGGTATGTAAAAGTTATCTTGGAATGCTCTAACATGCCCAAATCCTTAGGGAAGATTTTGTGATGTTCTTAACCTGGGGTGTTTTGGTTTTTAATCTTTCAGGGAGCATTTTGGAGCCAAACATCCTAAATATTCGGACACTCTACTTGACTATGGATTTTATTTACTCAACGTAGATAACATATGCCAGTCAGTTGCAATTTATCAGGTATGGCTTTGGTTTTGTAATTTATTGCAAGCCAGAAGCATATGTTACTATTGTTGTATTGCAGTGCTTTCTTCTCTCAAATCAGAAAACCATTCCTTCATGCCTTAATTTTGAACATAATCTCAAGTAGAAGGGAAGCTGGCAATCTGATGCAAGACAGAAAAGAATAAAGAAAAAAATATATAAAATAGGATAAAAACAATATACAGGTAGTCCTTGACATACAACCGCAGTAGAGCCCAAAATTTACGTTGCTAAGCTAGGCAATTGTTAGATGAGTTTTGTCCCATGTTATGGTTTTTTGGGGGGACAGTTAAATGAATCATTGCAGTTGTTAAGTGAATCATGCAGTCATTAAGCAAATCTGGTTTCTGCCATTGCTTGCTAGAAGCCAGCTGGGATGGTTGCAAATGGCGATCACAGGACCCCAGGACAGTGCAACTGTCATAAATACATGCCAGTTGTTAAATATCTGAATTTTGATCACCCAGCCATGGGGATGCTACAATGGTCATAAGTGCAAAAAGCAAATCATAAACCACTTTTTCCAGTGCTGTTGTAATTTTGAACGGTCGCTAAACAGATGGTTGTAAGTCGAGGACTACATGGGCTTTATGCAGTCCTCTGCTCTTTGCAGCATAGCCAAAAGATCAGCCTTCAATTAATTTGCCTTTAGACACAGCTTGTTCATCTTAGCCTTTGCTATGATTTTTATATGCCTGCCCTTACATAAAGGAGGTGGTTTGGGTTTTTTTGTTTCCTTTCTGTCTCTTTTGAGTGTTATGTAGATACTGTTTATCTCTGTGTGCCTGTTGATAGCCACTCAGACAAATCGCAGACAAACAACATCTACGTACTCTTCAAAAGAGACAGTGAAAAAGCCAAAAAGGAAACAAAAGACCAAAACATCTCCTTGCCGGCAAGCAATACCCAGATAGGCTAGAGATTACTGTTAGCACCAAGGTTAACACTAGACCAGCAATCAAGAAGTAAACAATAGACCAATCAAGGAACTACGAGTGCAGGCAAACAAGCAGCAGTAAACAAGCCCAGGCCAGAGCCACCCAAAACAGTCCCACCACATTGACAGGGCAAGCAGTGTGTATAACATGAGAGCAATCCCTACTACCCCCGTATCCCTGAAAGTAAAGCCTACCTCGAAAATAAGCCCTAGTTCGATTTTTTGGGGGGGTGGGTGGGCCTAATATACGCCCTACCCGCAAAATAAGCCCTAGTTTTGGGGTGAGGCACATACCTAAAAATCAAGCTGGGCTGGGGGAGTGGATCTGCCCCATGTGCTCCACGCCCCATTACCTTGCAGTCAGGCCTCTCCTCACCGGCCCACTTCTTCTTCGGAGGCATCTTCTGCAGCCAGGCCTGCATTTCTGGAAAGGCCACTGCAGCCGAGAACTAAGCTATAGATTGAATCCTCGGCATAGGCCTTCCGGAAAGGCCTGACTGTGAAATGCAGGCCAGAATGCAGCTGCAGATCTTTGGCCCCAGAAGAAGTGGACCAGCTGGCCAGGTCTGTTGGTGCAGGAGGTGAGTAAAACAGACACCCCCTGAAAATAAGACCTGGTGCTTCTTTTGGAGGCAAAAAATAAAATAAGACCCGGTATTATTTTCAGGGAAACACAGTAGCACTGATGATGTTACCTAATTGGGTCTGCAAGAAAATCACCAAACTCAGAGAGCACCAAGGACCTCACCTTTTAAAATAAATCATATAGTAGGTAGTATTAGTCTACCTAACCCAGCGGTTCTCAACCTGTGGGTCGGGACCCCATTTGGGGTCGAATGACCATTTCACGGGGGTTGCCAAACAACGCAGTCCGCCATTCCCACCCACCCCCCCTTTTCCTTGGCTGTGCTATTTCCTTTTATTCTATTGGCTTTTGAAAGCCAAGAGAATAGACTCTCTTGAATAGAGTCTAATTCTATTGGCTTTCAAAAGCCAATAGGAATTGTCCAGGCTGTCTCTGCCCTGCTGAGCCTGCCAAAAGTCCCATTCTGCAAACGGTGCTGCACCAGTTGAGTAGTCCTCGACTTACGACCGGTTGAGTAGTCCTCAACCTACGACCGGTTGGGGCTCACGGCATTAAAAAGGTTGAGAACCACTGACCTAACCTTTCTGACCGTAGGATGGAGAAGAAAAGAGTAAGGGGATTATAACTTCACCTTTCCACTGTTATTTCTGATGGAACACTTTAGCCTAGCCCAGGGGTAGGCAACCTTGGCTCTTTTATGACTCGTGGGCTTCAACTCCCAGAATTCCTGAGCCAGCAATGCTCAGCTTGGAAACTTCTCCCTTTTCCTTCAGCGTGGCTGGCTCAGGAATTCTGGGAGTTGGTCGACGAGTCATAAAAGAGCCAAGGTTGCCTAACCTTGGCCTAACCAATTCCATTGGAATGTTCCAAGTAACGCTGTCTTATCCCAAACTTGAAACAAGTTTCCTTTTTTCAGTCTTATGTGCTTAAATAAGGCGTGACATTTAGGAAGTCACTACTGTGTTAAAGCATGCTGTACAACAGTGTTTCCCAAACTTGACAATTTTGAGGCATGAGGACTTCAACTCCCAGAATTCCACAGCCAGCAACGCTGGCTGCGGAATTCTGGGAGTTGAAGTCCACATGCCTTAAAATTGTCAAGTTTGGGAAACACTGCTGTACAAGAAGGTAGCCAATCCTATGGTAATGGGCAGGAAGATTCTGTTTGCAACTAATCTGATGTTAGATATGTAAAAAAAAAGTTTTGACTGCAAAATTGAGTTACTGGCTTAGATGTTTTGCACAAATCATTTCAGACAGCCTTGGACATCAGACAGTCGGTGTTTGGCGGCAAAAACATCCATGTAGCTACAGCCCATGAAGATCTGGCATACTCTTCTTACGTTCACCAGTACAGTTCGGGAAAATTTGATAACGCACTGTGAGTACTGTATTCATTTAAGGCCCAAATGATTTTGTTTCTTTATTTCAGAGTCTTATTTCAATGTTAGAAAAGTATGTTTTTCTGAGATAGTAAATTTCAGCATTCATTTCCGCCCTTTTGCCACCACGAAAGATCATTTCTTTTTGTCCTACGTCTTTTCCCTGTTTTACTTTCTAAATAAGGAGTTATAAAAATACTCGGCCGCCATTTGTTTTTGGTTTTTTTTTTTTAGATTTTGAGACATTGTGCTGTACAGGTAGTCCTCAACTTATAACTAGTCTTTTTAGCAACCATTCAAAGTTACAACGGCATAGAAAAAGGGGACTTGCAGTTGGCACTCACACTTACAAGCATCCCCACAGTCACATGATCAAAATATGGGCACTTGGCAACTGGCATGTACTTACGACAGCTGCAGCACTCATGGGCCGTGTCATTGCCATTTGTGACCATCCCAGTCAGCTTCCAACAAATGAAGCCAAAGGGAGAAGCTGGATTGACTTAACGACCGCACGATTCACATAACCCCTGCACTGATTTGCTTAACAACCATGGCCGAAAGGTCGCAAAATCAGGCCTGACTCACTTAACAGTTGCCTTGCTGAGCAGTGGAAATTTTCGTCCCAATTGCGGTCCTAAATTGAGGAGTACCTGCAAAACAGAAACGAGCTGTCCACATTTTAAAATAAAATATCTAAATTTTTTTTTTTTTTAGTACGCCACACTTCAAATAACAAGATTAGGCACCTCCTATGGGGAGGGGGTGCAGGGTTCTGCTCTCTTACCCCTCCTCCTTTTTCAACATCTACACCAAGTTTCCATTTTGGGATTTGGCGTCTTCAGCGTGCTGAAGATTGCCAATGAAGTCTTCCAAGTGTTCCACGTGATACTAGCAGTGTTCCAGTATCTGAGGGGCTGCCACAGAGAGGAGGGGGTCAACGTATTCTCCAAAGCACCTGAAGGCCAGACAAGGAATAAAGGATGGAAATTGGTCAAGGAAATGAGGAATTTTGTGACAGTGAGAACAGTCAACCAACAGTTTGCCTTCAGAAGTTGTGGAAGCTTCATCACTGCAAGCTTTCAAGAAGAGAATGGACTGTCATCTGTCAGAAATGGTATAGGTTCTCCTGCTTAAGCAGGGGGTTGGACTAGATGACCTACAAGGTCCCTTCCAACTATGTTGTTCTATTCCAGTGATGGCGAACCTTTTAGAGACCGAGTGCCCAAACGGCAACCCAAAACCCATTTATGCATTGTTGGGTGCTGGGTGGGCCATTAGGTGGGCATGACTGCGGTGGTAACGGCAGACTGGGTGGGACTAAAAAGTTCAATTAATCAATTCCAACCTTGCAAGATCTTTTTTTTCCTCTGAGAAGTTGGAATTGACTGATTGATTGAACCTTTTTTTTTTTGTATACGGCGGCAGAGGCCTAAAGCGAAAAGGTTTTATAAAACCCAGCTGAAGGCCTAGGGCTCCGAGCGCTGCCTCTGGCATCCGTGCCATAGGTTCGCCACCACTGACCTAAAGTATGCCTATTTTGCCAGATCTGATAGGCTGGGCAGAAATGACTGGAGAGAAAGAACATTCAAGGTTGACTCAGCCTTCCATAGGTTCGCCACCATTGCTTTATGGCATGGGTCCAGAGTATCTGAGAACCATCTCACCCCAATGGGATTAGCCTGCCCCACTCATTCCAGCAGAAAGGGCCTACTCCAGATCCCATCAGCTGAAGAATTTCAGCTGGCAGGGTCCAAGAGAAGAGCCTTTTCTGCTGTGGCCCCCGTCCTCTGGAATATTCTCCCTCTGGAGGTGAGGTCCACCTCCACATACCTGACCATCTGGAAGAGCCTGAAAATTTAGCCCACTCACTCACAGGCTGCCCTTCGTCTTGGTTCTTAGCTTTTCTGTTTAATTCTTCTAATTTTAATTGTTTTATGCTACTTTTTTATCGCTCAAGTCGCTTTCTCAGTGAGACGGGTGGCATAGAAATTTAATAAATAAATGTCAGCAGTAGTTAGGGAGGCATTTACAGAACTACGTCTGGTTCACCCGTTGCGCCCTTTCTTAAATCAGGAAGTCCTTATGCCCTAGTCCAGGGGTAGGCAACCCAAAACACTCAAAGAGCTACTTGGACCCGTTTCCCACCAAAAACAAAACACCAGGAGCCGCAAAACCCTTTTGATATCTAAAATGAAGATAACACTGCATATATCCTTTTTTAACCTTTATTATAGGTGTGTGTGTGTGTGTGTGTGTGTGTGTGTGTGTGTGTGTGTGTATGGACATATCTCTCTATATATATATATACATACACATACATACATACATACATATATATATGTACTTTTACTTTTAACGTGTGTGTGTGTATACATATATATATATATATGTAGGTCTTTGGTTGTTCGGGTTTTCTCCCACGTAAAATTGGAAGTGTCTTGGCGACGTTTCGACGAAGTCCCATTCGTCATCTTCAGGCTGGTGCTTTCAGCTTCGTGCCTCGAGCAGCAATGTGTGGTCTTAGCTGTTTCTTCCTTTTAACTGCCAGTGGGGGTATGAACTGATTGGGTGGGAGCTTGGCTGTGTTCTGATTGGGTGGAGGTGTGTTCTGATTGGTTAGGGGCGTGGCTGTGCTCTGATTGGCTGGGGGGGTTGGCTGTGCTCTGATTGGCTGGGGGAGTGTTCTGTTTGGTTGTGCTCAGGTTAGTCTGAGTTGCAGAGGGATTTTGGGCTGCCCTGCCATTCCTTGGCTTCGCGTTCGTGGTCGTGCTTCCTCTTCATGGAGAGTGTCAGTTTGCTTCATGTATGGATTGGGGGGGTTTAAAGTGGCTAATGATGCAGCTGTGGTCTGGCTTCTGGTTTGTGGTCGTGCCTCATAGTCAGTGTGGCTTTGGGTTTGTTTTTTGCGTGGATGTTGGGTGGTGACCTCCTGTGTGGTTTTTGTGAGTGTGGGTCTGGTATCATTTTTTGTGTTAGGGAGTCGTTTGTCAATGAGGGCGGGTTTCCAAATGGCTGGTAGGCGGGAGGTATCATCTCGCTTGTTCATGCTGTGTGGGCGTTTTTCTATCTCGATGGCTTCTCTGATTATTCTGTTATTAAAATGTTCACTTTTGGCAATGGTTCTGGTATTTTTAAAGTCAATTTCATGTCCTGTGGCTTTAAGGTGTTGGACCAGGGAAGATGTTGGTTCCTCTTTTTTGACTGAGTTCTTATGTTCTTCAATGCGTGCACTTATTCTTCTGTTGGTTTGTCCGATATATGTGGTGGGACAAGTGGTGCATGGGATTTCGTATACTCCTTGATTTTCTAATTCAATTTTATCTTTGGGGTTTCTAAGGATGGTGGATATTTTTCTGTTTGTGCAGAATGCTGTTTTGATGTTGTGTTTTATGGAGGATCTTACTGATTCTGTCTGTGATGCCTTTTATGTATGGGAGGATGGCTTTGCCGTTTTCTTGTTCTTTGTCTTGGATTTTAGTGGGGGTTTCTTTTTGGAGTAGGTTTGTAATCTTATTTCTATGGAATCCATTGGATGTTAGTACATTGGTGAGAGTGTGTAGTTCGGGCTTTAGGTGTTGTTCGTCAGCTAAGCGTTTTGTTCTGGAGATGAGTGTCTTGGCTACAGAGTTGATCTGTGCTGGGTGGTGGTGTGAGAGAGCGTGCAGATAGCGGTTTGTGTGTGTTTTCTTCTGGTATATGGTGTGTCCTAGGGAGCCATTGGATTTCTTGTAGACTAAGACATCCAGGAAGGGAAGTTGGTTGTTAGCTTCTGTTTCCATGGTGAACTGTATTTTGGGGTGTAGGCTGTTGAGGTGTGTGAGGAAGTTGTCCAGTTTTTCTTTCCCATGTGGCCAGATTATGAAGGTGTCGTCCACGTATCTGAGCCAGAGTTTATATATATATATATATATATACACACACACAGTATATATATATATATATACACACACACACATTAAAAGTAAAAGTAAAAATATGACTCTTGGGAATATCCATACTATTAAAACAATGATCACCAAGAGAATGCTTTAAGAGAATAAAATTACATACACACACAGGTAAAAAAAGGATATATGCAGTGTTATCTTCATTTTAGATGTCAAAAGGGTCTCTCTCTCTCCCTCCCTCTCTATCTGCCCTTGGTCTGCCACTCCTCTTCCCCCACTCTCTTTCTTTCTCTCTCTCTTTCCTCTCTCTCTCTCTCTCTCTCTATCTCTCCCTGCCTCCCTCCCTCTCTCTCTTTCTCTCTCTCTCTTTCTCCCTCCCTCCTATCTGTTGCTCACCTGGCAAGCTTCAAGCTGTTGTCCAACAAGCTCAGGGGTAAGCAACCTCGTCTCTTTTATGACTCATGGACTTCAACTCCCAGAATTCCTGAGTCAGCCTAGCTGGACTAGCTAGCTCTCTCCTGCCCTTCTTGCTTCCTGCTTCCTTCAGAGACGCAGGAAAGGGAGGAGCTCCGCCCAATAAGCTTTTCAGCTCCTCGGAGAACACTGTGAGTGCATTCTCTTTTACACATACACACACACAAAAAAAAACACAAACACAGAGAGAGAGAGAGAGAGAGAGAGAGAGAGAGAGAAGCAGGGAAGCGCAATTGCCTCTCTCTGTCTCTGTCTCTCTCTGCAAAGGCAGAGGAGGCTGGGAGCCACAGGGGAAGGCTCAAAGAGCCGCATGCGGCTCCGGAGCCGGAGGTTGATGACCTGTGCCCTAGTCACATCACAGCTTGAGTACTGCAATGTCTCTACTTGGGGCTGCCCTTGAATACCACCTGGAAGCTTCAACTGGTTCAGAATGCAGCTGTGCAAGCAAATGATGGGCATGCCTCAGTATTTGCATGTACGACTTCTGCTTCCCGAGCTGAATTGGTTGCTAATTTGCTTCTAGGCGCCATTCCAGAGGATTCCATAAACGGCATACTCATGCCAAAGGCGGCACTCAGAGCCCACTTTGTGGGCACATGTGCCATGCCCTGGAGATGGCAACCATCCCTCTTCAACCAGCCGCCTGAGGTCCCAAGTGGCCGGACGGCTGGTTTTCCTCCTCCCCCCCGTCCCCTCCCTCCTGGCCTCGCATGCTCTACTTTTCCCAGACATGACCCACTGCATCACCTCCTCAGCTGTCGGCCAGCTGTCCAGCTCAGAGGCAGCTTCTCTGAACTGCTGGTGGCGGGCTGTGGAGCCCCAGAGTGCGCCAGTTGAGGGGCCAGCAGGCTGTGACTGCTGACGGACACTGTCGGCCCCCATGCACTCGCTGGTCTCTGTGTGCAGGGGCCGACAGTGTCAGGCAGCAGCGGCCCCTGCTTCGCCTTGCCCCATGGCAATGGCACCCCCACCCTGCCTCAACTCAACTCACCCCGCAGGACGAGGCTCCTGCCCACCGCCCCACCTGCCAGAGACCCGCTGGATCTCCCCCTGCCCGGCCCCCACAGGTATCCCCATGAGCAACATCAAAGTGACCACACCCACACAGTTTGCCATGACCACCCCAGTGGGCCACATCCCACCTGGCACCCGGCGATAAATAAGTGGGTTTTGGGTTGCAGTTTGGGCACTCGGTCTCTAAGAGGTTCGCCATCCCTGGCTTAATGCAGTGTTTCTCAACCTTGGCCGCTTTAAGACGGGTGGACTTCAACTCCCAGAATTCTGGGAATTGAAGCCCACCCATCTTACAGCGGCCAGGGTTGAGAAACACTGGCCCAGTGAGTGAAAGGAACGGGAGAGGAGAGGAAACACTGCGTTTTCTACCATCAGGACCTATTCAAATGGGAAAGTTGTGGCTTTTCTCCAAGTCACACCGATGGGGTTGGCACAGTTCCAGGAGCTCAAGTGTTCCTCTTGCTTGTTTTTGATCTTTAGATTCCATGCAGAACGTGCGATTGGTATCATCACCCACATTCTCCCAGAAGATCACCTGCTCCTCGCCTCTTCCAAAAGAGTTAAAGGTATTACCTGCCAGCTGGGTTTAGCTGCCATGGGAAGGAAACAGAAAGGGCTACTGATGGCTTTAGAGAATTCAGCGCTTTGAGGAAACAGTGATAATTGAGATAAGAAAGACGCCTTTGTGAGTTCCTTGACAATGAGAGCTAGTTTGATTTAGTGCGCGGGTCTTCAAACTTGGCTCTTTTATGACTTGTGGACTTCAACTCCCAGAACTCCTCCTGCAACCCAAAACCCAGTTATCCATTGTCGGGTGCCAGGTGGGTGTGGCCCATTGGGTAGGTGTGGCTCATTGGGTAGGCATGGCTCATTGGGTGGGCGTGGCTGCGGTGGTAACGAGACTGGGTGGAACTAAAAAGTTCAATCAATCAATTCCAACTTTGCAAGATCTTTTTTTTTTTTTTTGCCGCAAGAAGTTGAAATTGACTGATTGATTGAACTTTTTTGGGGGGGGGGGATATGGCGGCAGAGGCCTAAAGCGAAAAGGTTTTATAAAACCCAGCTGAAGGCCTAGGACTGGGGCGACGGCGCGCGTCCCCACAGAGAGGGCTCTGAGTGCCGCCTCTGGCACCCGTGCCACAGGTTCGCCACCACTGGACTAGACAGAAGATTTGAAAGGTCAGAGCAGAGCAGATCTACCTGAACAGCAGCTCAACCTGAGGTTGCTTGTCCTGTTGACTGAGAACTGGGACAGGTAAAAGAGCTGAAAGAGCTTCTTTGTCTAATTCTGGAAGATGACTTTCAGACCATGGTCTTCTTCACTAGCCAGATACCTTTTAATATCTTTTATTAATCCATGATGGCGCAGTGGTTAGGATGCAACCTTGCAGGCTAATTCTACTGACTGCCAGCAGTTCAATTCTAACCGGCTGAAGGTGGACTCAGCCTTCCCTCCTTCCGAGGTTGGTAAAATGAGGACCCAGATTGTTGGGGGGGGGGTGCATAGGCTCACTCTGTAAATCTCTTAGAGACAGCTGTAAAGCCCTGTGAAGCAGAGTACAAGTGCTAGTGCTATTGCTAAGAAAGTTGCCCGTCCAGCCAGTGTAAATTATGCAGGAGTGAACTGTGTTCAGGGATGAAGCAGGAAAAACCAATTTGGCTAAATAAAGGTACTTAAAAGGAAAATAAAATATAGGAATATCTCTCTCTCTCTCTTTCTCTCTCTCTGTAACCATGTCTGTCTGTCTCTTTTGCTCTTTCCCCCTCTGTCTGTCTGTCTGTCTATCTATCTATCTAATCTACCATCTCCTGGATCTGTCTACTGTATCTGTCTGTCTGTTTCTTTGCCTATCTATCCATCCATCCATCCATATAATCTATCATCTCCTGGATCGATCTATCTATCCATCTATCTATCCATCTATCTATCTAATCTATCTAATCTATCTATCTATCTATCTATCTATCTATCTATCTATCTATCTATCTATCTATCTATCTATCTATCTATCTATCTATCTCCTGGATCTACCTGTCTGTCTGTCTGTCTCCCTGCCCCCCCCCTCTCTCTGTGTAACCATGTGATACCTTTAAGATTTGTGCCCCTTTTCTTTCCCCCCTTTAAAGCGCTTATCCTGGAGGAGATTGCAATCGACTGCCACAATAAGGAAACCGAGCAACGGCTACTCCAGGAAGCTCACGACTTGCACCTCTCCTCTCTCCAGCTGGCCAAGAAAGCGTTTGGGGAATTCAACGTTCAGACAGCGAAACACTACGGCAATCTTGGCCGACTTTATCAGTCAATGAGGAAATTTAAGGTAAATCCAGCCTTATCGCAGCGGTGGGCAGGAATTTGCTAACGGGCCTTTTGTAGGAAACAGGTAGTCCGGACCGGTTTCAGTCAAAAACATCACAAATTGCAGTCATCTGGGATGCTGCAAACAGCCATCAGTGCGGGCCAGTTGCAAAGTGCCCACGATGCAGTAATGTGCTTGCAGGGGGGAGCAGTGTGGTAACTTCAACACTGGGTTCGAAAGCTTTGGCGGGTCATAACTTCAAGTGGTTATAGGTTAAGGACTACCTGTATTTTCTCTGTAATGTATTACTTTGTAATAATATTTGCTAATTAATTTTGTCTTTTTTTTTTTTTTTTTTTGTATCACCAAAGCTACTAAACTTCATTGTTCACACAACAACTACAGGTTATAAATAAGATCATTGGTTTGATGTTCAGGTTTTCTGCATTCCTTGCCTGTTTGTTTGTTTTTTTGATTAAGGAGCAAGAAAATAACTTCTACTTCATTTTTATTCTTTTTTTTAAAAAATGCATATGATTTTTTTATGGCTCCTAGATAAGACACACCTGTTAATATTATGCTAGGATAAGTCAGCTAAACCAGGGCTTGTCAACCGGTGGTACGCGTATCACTTGTGGTATGCGACCACCTGGCTGGTGGGATGCGGTATCGCCTTCCTCCCGCTCCGCGACGTTGCCTTCCTCCCGCTCCGCTCCTTCCACCTCACTTGTTTGTGGAAAATATGCTGTTTGGCGGCAGCCTGCACAAACTTTACTGAACGTGCCCTGCAGGAGGCGCGTGAAAAGCGCAGGCGCAGAGCAAGGCCCCGCCCTCCCCAGGGACTCATTGTGCAGCAACTGGTTTGACTCAGATCAGCAAAGGGGAGGCCGCTGCAGCACCGAACTCCTGCGCCCGTCAGCTAGCGACCCCCGAACTTGCGCTTGTCAGCTGGGAGGTCTGGCTCCGGCGCCGGTCTCCTTTGCCACCCCACACGTCGTCCTCGACCTCTCCCCCAGCCCGTTCATGTCGAGCCCGTGGGGGCTTGACAGAGAAGGAGGGAAGGAGGAAGTGATTCCTCCTCTCCTAAAGTTCAAAGCATGATCAGCTTCCCAAGAGCGCCACAATCCCAACTCATGTGTTTCTGCCATACCTCCTCGGCACTCCCGGGAATGGGGCGGGCAGAAGAAAGCTTGGCTAGGCTAAGCAAAGAAAAGCCACGGAGCCGCGAGCTCAGATCGCAGGCAGGCCGGGGAAGAGGGTGAAGAATAGAGGGACTGGGAGAGAGGAAATGCCAACCTTGTCCTCGCCTCTCCCAACAACCTCCTTCGCCACCTCACAGGAACACCCGGTTTCAGAGTTACGCCGCAAAAGTTTTTCTCGCGCAGAGGAGAGAGGAAAAACAATTGCGGAACGCTCGGGAATCCCTTGCAAGGCACCATGTACCTTGGGGCTTATTTCCTAATGCCTTCCCCACCGTGTTTTCTGCTCTACCCCGAATTCGCCTCCCTTCCACTCTCCTTACACAGCCATCTATGGTCTTAATATAGCCCTAAGTCTGTCTCGCTTTCAACACCCCCTAAAATTCTTCATTCAGGCAGGCTTCCAGTATTCGGCTGGCAGGATGCAGGTAACCCCTCCCCCCTGTCCTGGTGCCGCTCCGCGTCCCGCGCCTCCATGTCTCAAGCCTCCGTGGCACAACTGCTGGCGTTACGCTTGGGCGGAAGACTTTTTCTTTTACAGATGGGGCGGGTGGGCCCAACATTTGCGGGCAGGTAGGACCCCGCCCGCCGAGCCACCGCCTCCCCATCGCCCTCCACGCCAGGCGGCTTGGTCTCCAGACCTCCCAGCTGACAAACGCAGGAGTTTGGCGCTGCGATGGCCTCCCCTTCGCCCTCTGCAGCGGCCAAAGTGTTGCCGGTCGTTCCAGCTGACAGGTGCAGGTCCGGGGGTCGCCAGCTGACAGGCGCAGGAGGTAGGCGCCGCGGCGGCCTCCCAGCCGCCTGCTTCTTCGGCTGGAGCAGTTGCCATGGCTTGCATGGTCCCCAAGGACCGCTGACGCACTCCCCGCTGCCGGCGACCATGCAAGCCCTAGCAACTGCTCCAGCCGAAGAAGCAGGTGGCTGGGAGGCCGCTGCGGCACCGAAATCCTGCGCCCGTCAGCTGGAATGTCAGGCAACGCTTTGGCCGGTGTGGAGGGCGAAGGGGAGGCCGCCGCAGCACCGAACTCCTGCGCCCATCAGCTGGCGACCCTCCGAACTTGCGCTTGTCAGCTGGGAGGTCTGGCGATGGAGCCAGCTGGCATGGAGGGCAACGAGGTGGCGGCTCGGCGGGCGGGGTCCTGCCTGCCTGCGAATGTCGGGCCCACCCGCCCCATCTGTAAAAGAAAAAGTCTTCCCCCCCCCAAGCATAACTTTAAGGATTTTAAGATCTTTGAGGGGGAGAGAGAAATAGAGAGAGGGAGAGAAAGAGGGAAAGAGAAATAGAGGGAGGGAGAGAAAGAAAGAGAGAGGGAGAGAGAGAAGAAGGGAGAGAGAGAAAGAAGGAGGGAGAGAAAGGGAGTGAGAAAGGGAGACGGAGAGAGAAAAAGAAGGAGACGGAGAGAAAGGGAGAGAAAGACGGAGGGAGAAAGAAAGAGAGGGAAAGAGAAAGGGAGAGAGAAAGAAAGAGAGGGAGAGAGAGAGAAAGAAAGAAGGAGAGAGATTAAATTAGTAACATGGTTGTTCAGTGAATCTGGATTCCCCACTAACTTTGCTTGTCACAAGGTTGCGAAAGGGGATCACGTGACCCTGGAACAATGTGACCATCATAAATAAGAATCGGTTGCCAAGCATCTGAATGTAAATCACATGACCCTGGGGATGCTGCAATGGTCATGAGTGTGAAAAATGGTCATAAGTCACTTTTTCCAGTGCCGTTGTAACTTTGAACAGTCACCAAGCAAACTGTTGTAAGTTGAGGCTACCAGTACTTTATCACTTTTTTCCTTTTTTGGGGGGGGGGTCATCAAGCTTTTGACACCTTGCTGGGTGACTGGTGGTACTCGAATTGTTGCCATATTCTAAAAGTGGTACAATCGGTGAAAAGGTTGAAAAGCCCTGAGCTAAACAACCTGCTCAGTTACAGGTAGTCCTGGACTTAACAGCTACAATTGAGTCCAACGTTTCTATTGCTCAGCGAGACAGTTGTTAAGTGAGTTTTGCCCCGTTTGACGGCCTTTTTGCCAGTTCTTAAATGAATCCCTGCAGCTAGTCACACGGTTGTTAAGTGGATCCGGCTTCCCCATTGACTTGGCTTGCCAGAAGGTCACCAAAGGGGATCAAATGACCCCGGGACACTTGTAACCGTTACAAATACAAGCACCTGAGTTTTGATCGCATGACCACGAGGATGCTGCTATGGTCGTAAGTGTGAAAAATGATCACAAGTCCCTTTTTTTCAGTGCCTGTGACTTCGACCGCTCGCTAAACGAATGGTTGCAAGTTGAGGACTGCCTCTGTGTAGAAGGAAGACAGGTGTATCGTTGAAATGGCATTATGGACCCAGCTGTTAAAAAAAAGTCTTGATTGGAAGACATAGTAGTGGTCATGGGAATTAAATGCACCTACTTCCTTCTCTCCACCTCAGTGCTTAATTTAGACAAGAACCTTTTTCAGCCTCCCCAGGGATAGAATATAAGTTTCACAGGTGTTCACAGCCAGAATTGAGCAGGTTCAAATTCAGCCACTCCACCACATCTTCCAAATTAATAATAATAATAAAGGTGGAAGGGACCTTGGAGGTCATCTAGTCCAACCCCCTGCTCAGGCAGGAAACCCTATACCATTTCGGACAGGTGGTTGTCCAGTCTCCTCTTAAAAATTTCCAGTGTTGGGAGCACCCACCTGGAGGCAGGTTGTTCCACTGGTTAATTGTTTTAACTATCAGGAAGTTTCTCCTTAGTTCTAGGTTGCTTCTCTCTTTGATTAGTTTCCATCCATCTCTTCTTGTCCTGCCTTCAGGTGCTTTGGAGAATAGCTTAACTCCTTCTTCTTTGGGGCAGCCCCTGAGATACTGGAAGACTGCTATCATGTCCCCCCTTGTCCTTTCGTCATTAAACTAGACGTGCCCCATTCCAGCAGCCATTCCTTAATAATAATAATAAAGTTGGAAGGGACCTTGGAGGTCATCTAGTCCAACCCCCTGCTCGGGCAGGAAACCCTATAGTACCATTTTGGACAAATGGCTGTCCAGTCTCTTCTTAAAAACTTCCAGTATTGGAGCATTCACCGCTTCTGGAGGCAGGTTGTTCCACTGGTTAATTATTCTAACCGTCAGGAAGTTTCTCCTTAGTTCTAGGTTGCTTCTCTCCTTGATTAGTTTCCATCCATTGCTCCTTGTCCTGCCTTCAGGCGCTTTGGAGAATTGCCCCACTCCATCTCAAAATTCTTCGTTCGGCCGATTTCTCAGGTGCCCTCTTGTCTGAAAGGTTTTGAAGCTTGGCTTTTTGTTTTAAGATTTTTAAGAACGTTAGCTTGTATTCTCAAGCAGGCGGAGACGTGAAAAAAAAATAGCCATTAACGACCCCTGCGTCAGTACCTGACCCATTTTGGCTATTGCAGGAGGCGGAAGAAATGCACATCAAAGCAATTCAGATCAAGGAGCAGCTGCTTGGTCAAGAAGATTACGAAGTCGCTCTTTCGGTGGGACACCTCGCCTCGCTCTACAACTATGACATGAATCAGTACGAAAACGCTGAAAAGCTTTATTTGAGATCCATCGCAATTGGTGGGTCATTTCTTTAACTGTTTGGGGGAAGGGTGGAGATCGGGGGGCCTTGGGAGCTCCTTGACCCTCGTTTATAGAAAATTGATAGACAGACAGACAGGTAGATACCGTATATAGATTGGATGGATGGATGGATGGATGGATGGATAGATAGATAGATAGATAGATAGATAGATAGATAGATAGATAGATAGGATGGATAGATAGGATGGATAGATAGATAGATAGATAGATAGATAGATAGATAGATAGATAGATAGATAGATAGATAGATAGATAGATAGATGATGGATGGATAGATATAATGGATGGATGGATAGATAGATGATGGATAGATAGATAGATATAATGGATGGATGGATGGATGGATAGATATAATGGATGGATACATAGATATAATGGATGGATGGATAGTTAGATAGATGATGGATGGATAGCTAGATAGGATGGATGGATGGATAGATGATGGATGGATAAATAGATATAATGGATGGATGGATGGATAGATAGATATAATGGATAGATGATGGATGAATAGATATAATGGATGGATGGATGGATATAGTAGATGGATGGATGGAGGATGGATGGATGGATGGTGGGTGGATAGATAGATAGATAGATAGATAGATAGATAGATAGATAGATAAATAGATATAGTGAATGGATAGATGCATGGATGGAGGGTGGGTGGATGGATGGAGGGTGAGTTGGTGGGTAGGTGGATGGATGGAGGGTGGGTGGGTGGATAGATAAGTAGATGGATGGATGGATGGATGGATAGATAGATAGATAGATAGATAGATAGATAGATAGATAGATAGATGATAGTAAATGGATGGATGGCTAGATAGACAGATTTTTATAGCCAGTTCAAGCAAGCCTGTAGGGCAATGGTGGTGAACCTATGGCACGAATGCCAGAGACGGCACTCAGAGCCCTCTCTGTGGGTACATGTACCATGCCCCGGAGATGGCAACTGTCCCTCTTCAACCAGCCGCCGGCTAACTCGTTGAGGTCCTACGTGGCTGGATGCATCCCGGCACGGCTCGTTTCCCTCCCCCCCGTCCCATCCCTCCTGGCCTCGCATGCTCTCTTTTTCCCGGGCACGACCCACTGCATCACCTCCTGAGCTGTCAGCCATCCATCCAACTCAGGCGGCTTCTCTGAACTGCTGGCGATGGGCTGCGGAGCCCCAGTGCACCAGTCGAGGGGCCGGCAGGCTGTGGCTGCTGACGGACACTGCCGGCCCCAATGCGCTCGCTGGCCTCTGTGTGCAGGGCCCAATGGTGTCAGGCAGCAGCCACCCTGGCCCTTGCCTTGCCCCATGGCAATGGCACCACCGCCCTACCTCGCCTCACCCCGCAGGACGAGCCTCCTGCCTATGCCCCACCTGCCAGAGACCCCCTGGATCTCCCCCAACCCTGCCCACCCCCACAGGCATCTCTCCCCACGAACAACATTGAGGTGACCACGCCCAGCCACACCCACCCAGTCTGCCATGACCACAGCCACGCCCACCTGGCACACCCGGCGATAAATAAGTGGGCTTTGGGTTGCAGTTTGGGCACTCGGTCTCTAAAAGGTTCGCCACCACTGCTGTACGGAGATCCTCCTGACCACTTAGATTCTCGTGGTCAGTGCGTTTTAAAGCATTTAAAGTAGAATCCCCGATTTATAATTTAGACTTAAATTATTAACTGGTTAATCATTGGATGTAATTAAGGTAATTAATTAATATAAATTCCTTTTGAAGAAAGAAAGCAGGAAGAATCATGGAGGGCTTACAGCAAACAGTTCAGCTTTTTTGTAATTGTTGGAGATGATGACATCTTCCCAGAAAAAGAAACTTTGGAATGCTTCCAGGATTCCCCCTCTCCCCCCCCCAAATGGATTATTCTTTTTATAAGTCCAAACTTCCTTGGAAGAATCCGAAGGGGTCCGTTTCTAGAACCATTTTATTCATACTCTCCCTCCCCCCCCCCCCAAAAAAAAATTTCTAGTTTTTTTTTTAATTCTTCCCGTATCTATAATTTTAAAATGCAGAAACTACACTTTAATACGGCAGCCTTTAATATGGTTCTTGGTTTTTTCCAATTTTGTTGTTTTAGGAAAAAAGCTTTTTGGGGAAGGTTACAGTGGACTAGAGTATGACTACAGGGGCCTCATTAAACTGTACAACTCCATTGGCAACTACGAGAAAGTATTTGAATACCACAATATCTTAGCCAACTGGAACAGATTGCGGGATCGGCAGTTTTCAGTCACAGATGCCCTGGAGGATGTCAGCACCAGTCTTCAGTCAACTGAACAAGTCGTCCAGACTTTCCTGATCTCTCAGACCGTCGAAGGACCCGTTTGCTAAGGAACTTGGTCAATTTTACCAATTCTTGTTTCCTTCTTGGTTTTCCCCTAAATTTACACGGGAAAAGTCATACTGTGAAATTCGAAACCATATGTTTTTTTTTCCAACCCTCCTTTCCCGGAGCTGTTTTTAAAAAAACAACAACAATAATAATAATAATTTGCATTGAAACACTGGTCCAGTCCATTAAAAAAAATCCCATTTTGGGGATGATGTCAACTTTTGATGGAGTGACCATAAGCCGGACGTGTACTAAATGTGCGAGCATAAGCACAGCATATTTTGTTCGGGTTCAAGGTGTGTGTCTGTGTGCGTGCACGCGCGCATGTGTGTGTGGTTCACAAACACGTACACACAAGCATGTGCGCGTGGGGGGAAAATGATCTCTAATAATCTTCTCTAATTTTTTTTTTTTTTGTTCCAAAAAGCCACTTTACAAGAAATTGCTGCAAAGACTAGAGAGAAATAAAACCATTTGACAGTTTTTAAAGAGTTGCATTCTTAATTGAGAAAAAAAGGGGGCCAGTCATGTAAAATGTGGATTATTTCCTTTCTTCAATAAACGGAGAGAATCTTATTCAGTATTAGGGCCCTGCAGAATCTGGATGCAAAGGGGTGGGGAGGAAATAGGTTGAGGACTTGTGTGTAGTCTCTGTTGGAAACGTCTTTCCTTGGGCTCACACGGAAGTGGCAATCAGCTGTTGACCCAAAGTGTCAGAACTAGATGGCTTAAGAAAGTACTTGTCTGACCAGGCTTGTTCCTAAACCAGGGATAGACAACCTTGTCTCTTTTATGACTCGTGGACTTCAACTCTCAGAATTCCTGAGCCAGCACAGCTGGCTCAGGAATTCTGGGAGTTGAAGTCCACGAGTCATAAAAGAGACAAGGTTGCCTACTCCTGTCCTGAACCCTTCTTGTCCTCTGCATCCAGATTTCTCCACAGTTGGGATCGTTGAGAAATGATTGAAAAGCGAAAAAAACCTGCACATGTACAGAAGGAAGCTGAGAAGGTTTTCCCCTTCTCGCTTTGCACTACCTTAAAGCTACAGAGATTTCTTTGAAGAAGGAATATTTGCCTTGTGAACACCTCTTCTTTTGGAAGCGTGTGTGAACTGGACCAGTGGGTTCGCACAGTCGTGGCGAGAGCTCTCCAAAATAACCCCCTTTGCCTCCCATTTCTTCTCATAGTAGGCAAGGTGTTTATTTGGTTTTCCTTTTTTTTTTTTTTTTTGCGACAGGACCAGGATAATTTAAAGTGGACCAGCCTGCCCTTCGAAAAACAAACAAAACAAAATATTCACGAAACAGTGTCTTACCGTGCTGTTTCTCATGCCCCTCGGTTTCCTTTACCCAGTAGATTAATTTAATTAAGGGTGCATTTTTCAACCGTACCCCAAACATGGCAGACAGAGGAGAGAAATATATTAGCAGCTTCCACCATTTTCAGCCGTTGTAATGTAATGCCTTTTAAACTATTATGGATACACACTAAATGTTATTTTGCATAAACAAAGCTTTTTAGAAACGCTTCTCCATCCTTCCCTTCTGTGTTTTCAAAACAGGCTGTCTCTAAAGCAGTGTTTCTCAACCTTGACAATTTTAAGGCATTGCTGGCTGTGGAATTCTGGGAGTTGAAGTCCACATGCCTTAAAATTGTCAAGGTTGAGAAACACTGTTAAAAGATGTAACTTGCTTGTGCTGAGTTTTTTTTCTTCTTCTAAAAAGCACCTGGCTTTATTTTATTTTATTTTATTTTGGAAATGACCGTTCTTTTTATACTTTGTAGGGGTCACCGAAATAATATCCGAAGAAGAAGGGGAAAAAAAGCACAGCAAGGCAGTCTTGGTCTCTTTTGCTTCCCTTTGTGTTTTGAAGCCTCGTTATTTTTTTTTTTACACTAAACAAACAACCACAACCTGATTTCCTTAACTTCGTTTTTAAATGCTTGTCACTTCTTTTTTTTAAAAGCGTTAATGCCTGTCTCACTAACTTGTCTTAATTTGAGGGTGGAGTTGCCTTTTTCTTTTAGAGGAACTGTCTTTTAAACGTTGGGGGTAATAATTGAAATTTTGGAAGACCTGGCGAGTCTGTGCCCAGTTTGGAAAGGAGAAGCAAAAAACTTGCTGTTACCTCAGTTTTTAATATGGAGACGCTGACATTGTCTCTGTATATTAAAAGTATTGGTGGGTAGCCCACCCCTATTTTCAGGGGTTTTATCAGCCGCCAGGGAAAGAGCTTTGGCCAGCAGAAAGCACCTCTAGGATTTGGAGTGAATTTTATTTACTGTTTTAACTTTGGGGAGAGAGAAATGAAAGATCTGCATGTCTGTTTTTAAAGTCACAGATTCCGCAAAGAATAGCAATGAGTGGCTTTATATATATTCCTCTTTATCCCGAATATAGCAATACCATTGGCTTTTAACATAGAATATTGCAGGACAGTCCTTTTTGTTTTGAACTAGTGCCTTTTAAGTCTTTCTTTCTTTCTTTCTTTCTTTCTTTCTTTCTTTCTTTCTTTCTTTCTTTCTTTCTTTCTTTCTTTCTTTCTTTCTTTCTTTCCCAAAGGTGGGGGGGCGCATCTTGTAATTCTTTGGTGAAAAATTTGGAAGCAAATTTTATGTGGGGACAGACCGGAGCAAAAACATTACTTAGAAAAGAGAGTTGACCGTTGGTTTTGGGGGGCATGGCGTCTTGAGATCGGGATCGGACCCTTGAAAAGGGGTTTGGGAGGTGAACATCAGCAGTCAGAAATTCTGCTTGCCGTGGGGCTGGGCCCAAAAGATTTGGAGCAGTGAGGACAGGTGCAAACCACACCTCCACCTGGGCTGGGGTCTCTAGTAAGAAGTTGCAGAAGTTCAGTCCTGTTTGCAGGTACCGTATTTTCCGGCGTATTAGACGACTCGGCGTATAAGACAACCCCCGACTTCGGAGCCGATTTGCATGCTTAGAAAGTCATCTTATACACCGGAAACTACCGTAATTTCCGGGGTATAAGAGGACTCGGCGTATAAGACGACCCCCGACTTTGGAGCCGATTTGCATGCTTTGGAAAGTCGTCTTATACGCCAGAAAATACGGTAGCTGTATGGGAGCTGTTAATATTTTAAGGCTGGTTTTTTTCCCCCAGTCTTCTAGTCGGATGTGTTTCTGAGTGATTCACTGTTTTAGGAACGAAGCAGTTGGCTAGCTTGTCTGGATAGTTCTTTGCTTTGGGCTTCCCCTGGCCCTTTCAACTCCCATTGTTCACTTTTGTCCTTAAGTGGAATTCTCCGTCAGAGTGGCAGCGTAAATATTTCACATTGTGTTATTATTCCCCGTCCTAGCTTTTAAAACCGTTGTTTTTCTCTCTCTCTCCTTCCCCATCTCCTCTCACGCAAAAGCTGCCTGTTGCCTAAATCATGTTGGTTATATTCTCAGTTGCATTTGGTTGATCAAAATAATCCCAGAAGGGAAAATTCAATTAAATCAATTATATGTTTGTGCTGGCATGTTGCATCGGCCTAGCCCTGGGCTAGCCGTTCTGGTTAACAGTAGGAAGAAAAGTGGAGGACAGGACCCAAAAAAATATGCCTGGAAACATATATTCCCCCCCCCCCCATTTGCAGTGAAAACACAGGAAACATTCTTGAACTTTTAGAGAAAGATCTTTTTTCTTCAGAGTTGGTTTATCAATTGTAGCTCCATCCTCCCAAACGTTTCGTTGCGGAATTAGACAGGCCCGTGTTGGTGGCATGTTATCTGAACCCAAGCTCCCAGGTGCTGGCTGTTAAGGTCCCTTCATTTTGAAAATCATGACATGCTAAATTCTCACAGCCGCATAGAACCGTGCAAAGATCCTCAATTTTTCCCATCCTTTCTGAGCTCCTCGGAGTAGACTGCTCCCGATTCCTCTGCTGTTTTGGTAAAAGCCTTGCTTGCTACATCAACAGAAAGAATTTGTGATGTCGGGCAAGTTAATTGCAAAGTGTCTTCCCGAATCTTCGTCCCATCATCGTCATCCCTGCCCTGTTGTTGCTGGTCACTGGAGGTGATGTAGCGTCATGCACTTGGGACATTGTCTGCAGTGGCTTTCTCTTTTTCTGAAATTGCAAATAAAACTAGGGGAGGAGGGGAGTGGATCAATGGATAGCTTGAACTCAAAATCAGAAGGAGAAGTAACACAATTCACAAGATACTCCTTTTAAATCTTTGGCTGCTAGAAAGACAGGGCTGGGAATATTGGCGAGTCATTTCTTTAGTTGATGTTTTTGAGGTGGGTTGTCCTTTCAATGCCAGCTCGTGTGCAGTGTTGCCAAGGCTATCAACATTTATTTTCTAGTCCAGATCACTTGTTTTACATCCTGGGTAGATAGGTATAACTAAAGCAGAAGCTCCAAATTGCATTACTCAGCGGATCACGCACAATGGCACCACAAGGAGCTAGTTGTGAAGTTTGGGATACAGTAATTGCAAGGAATTATTCATAAGCTGTTCCTCCAAACCCCCCCCCCCCCAACATCCTGGTAGTTAAAGTAATTTAGCAAAAATGACTTTTTCCCCCCTTTCCTTTGCCTTCACCTACTCAGAAATCCCAGTAAGCTTTTATCTAGAGCAGGGCTCTCAAAACTTAGCCACTTTAAGACTTGCGGACTTCAATTCCCAGAATTCCCTAGCTAGCCAGATTTGGAGACCCCCTGATCTGGAGCACAACTGGGAGCAGAAGAAGAAGAATTCTCGTAAAGTATAAAAGTGAGAGTGCAGGTCTTACTTCAGAGTCACTCACCAATGGGTACCATGCCGGCGTGCCATGGTACCCATTGAAAACTAGGAAAGTGGCAAAAACTAGCAAAAATCTGTATGGTTGTGCTGAACTAATACCGAACTTCAGACGTGTGCTGTTAATTAAAGGCTGAGAAATTCAAGTCGAGGTATTTAAGGCTCGGTATTCAAGTCTAGTCCAATTAAAACGTTGCATACAGTGAAATTCCAGTTGTTACGTCCTTTGGAAGTGATTTGATTTTTTTTTTTTTTTTTTTTTTTTTGCAAATCCCGGTACGGGGGGTCATTCCTTTTTTCCCTTCTCCTTACTACTGAGAGCATGCGTCGTGAAATAATTTTGCACAGTCGTGTGACGCGCTTTGATTAGGAGATCATAAATAAATATAATAAATATCTATGAAGATGCACCTATGCAAGCAAAGTGTTCTTTTCCAGGAACGAAATAGGAAAATAGTTGCTCCTTTCTTTCACTGGGGATTTTGGCCTTCTGAAAACTCACTTTGGACTTCAAAATTTCTTTGCCCATTTGATCAGGATTGTGATTAGTGAGCCTGTGGTATTAGGGAAACGGAACCAGCTGAGTAGAGGCTTAACCTGTCACCCAGGTGTGACATGCTGCTAGGATAGATCTTTTTTCCCTTCCATAAAATTATAATTATTGCAGAATTTTCCCCACAGAGCTTTTTGCAGCTGCTTTAAAGAATTGAATGGCTCTTGAAAGAACATTTCAGATGTTGGAGCTCCTTCAGAGGCAATGCGTTTGTTTAGTTTCTCTTTCATTTCGGCCTTAACTTGGAAGTCTGGCTGGAGGTGAGGAAGCAAGAGAATAGGATAATCTGGTTGGTCCAGTCTACTTTCTTCATTGTGTCTTCTTTAAACAAAGACTGCTTCCCTTTGTGAATTTTGAGGACTTGGTTCCAAAGAGATGTTGGCGGGTGGATGCCCGAGCCAGGCAACCAGAATAAGAATGATAATTTAAGTTGGAACCCCTGGATTAAGTCGTTTCTGGATTTAAACTGTTGATTGGAAACCGATTTGGGAGCCTAGAACAGGGGTAGGCAACCTTGGCTCTTTTATGACTCATGGACTTCAACTCCCAGAATTCCTGAGCCAGCCATGCTGAGAAGAAATTGAGAGATTTCCATGCTGAGCCAGGCTGGCTCAGGAATTCTGGGAGTTGAAGTCCACGAGTCATAAAAGCCAAGGTTGCCTACCCCTGGCCTTAGAAAGTTGTGTTTAATTTTGGGGGACTATTTACAGGACAGTTCATACAACAGGTGGTTTAGGATCTGATTTTCCAGGTGCATTTAAGGATTGCTTGCGGTTTGAGGCGACTGCTTTTAAACCCACCCCCCTGCTCCCAAGGGTGCAAATCGTTTCGTGGCTTGTACACAAGCAGGGAACGTGATCTAGGACCACGATTTGAACTCGTTCACTTCTGTAAACAAAGGGCACAATCTAGCCAAAGGTTAAGGCTCCTTCAGACAGTTTTGGAGTCTCGCCAAAACTGAGAGGGCTTATAAAATTGTCCAAAGGTCGTCTTCTAGAATTGACCAGACTTAATTGAAACGCATCCCGAAGCACCGTTGCTATTTTCTCTCCCCGCAGCTTTAACCGCCACCGTGCGATTGAGGGACTTTGCCATTATTATTCCCCGCGGACGTTTCACGTCTTTGTGACTGTGTCCTCACATCGGTGTCCTTCTCCCCTATCCCATCCCACCTGGTTTTTTGTTTTTTTTTAAGGGCAGATAAAATTACTGCTGTAGGAGGATGACCAGGTGTTGGAAGAGCAACAAGATCCTTAGGACCTATGCCTTTCAGCGTCCCACCCATGACCACGTTTAGCTCTCCGTGCCTGCCAGAAATCGATCTCGTCCCACGGGATGGGGAAACACGGCCCTCAGCAGTTGATACTTCTTTCACGTGCCTCCTAGAGCGAGGTAGTTTCAGGAAAAATGCTGCAGACTTCAAGTAACCCCAAGGCCTCTTGCTTCCCTGTTAAAAAGAATCTGTGTTTCATCCGGGCGGCTAACATAATGGCTGAAAATAAAGCCAACCACTTGAAAGACGTCTTCAATTCCTTCTGATTGCCACACCTCTTTTTGCAGCTCTCTTTTTTTTCCCCAGCCTGAAAATAATAATAGTAATAATAATAGAAGAGCTGCTTGAATGAACCACAGAGATGCTACCCTCTCACGTCTGCAGCAATTCCACCGAATTATTATTTTTTTAAGTGCACAGCCTTCGTGCCTTCTTGTCAGACACCGAAGCCACTCCAAACTTGGTGCCTTCTGCGTGGATTGGACCACCCTTCCCATCACTCCCAGTGAAAACAACAACAGCGCACCCAGTTAGGAAGATGCTCAAGGATATTTTTTTTTCCCTTGTGGTCAAAGCTGCTCCATTACTGGGCACGGTGGAGAGGAACTGAGATTGCTGGATTTGAGTCGTGTTCCTCGGCTTCACATTCAAGCCTGAGTGGAAATGTCTGTTTTGCTTGTTAATGGCTGTTTTATTATTATTATTATTATTATTATTATTTTGTTGGTTTTGGGTTTTGACACCAGTTTGATCCGTGGCGGAGTTTGCCTCTGGGCCTTGGGAAGGCATAAATCTTGGCTACTTTGCGTGTCCTGTTGCATTGTAGAGAAGGGGTGAAGGCGATTGTCACATGGCGAAAATGTGCTTGCAGTGGGGTTCCTCGTGGACAGCGAAGGGGTTCAGTACTTTTTGTCCCCCCCCCTTCCCAAACTCAGGAATGTTTTTAAGGCAGCGAAGCCCACCTCCCTTTTCTGCGAAACCAATTCGCGGATTCTCGTTAGCAAATACAGTACTACGGCAGCAATTGTAGGTATCTTAATAGCATGAAGAGGCCTTAGTGCGTTGTTTTTAAGTGCAGATTTCTTTGGTTTGAAGACATTAAAGAGAAAAAAATAAGATGGGGAAAAATATATATGCTATATAAATATATAGAGATATCTAGAAACTTGGTGTTTCGACATCCAGGTTTTTTTCAGTGTTGGATCACTAACCCTCACAGGTACCGTGTGTGTAACCATCCTGCAACCCCACCCCCCAGCTTTCCTTTGTATGCATATTGATATGAGCTATGTTGCCATGAAAGTTAAGATTTTAAAACAGAGGAAAAACTTTTAGCATTGTTTCTTGGGGTGGGGGTGTTGAATGAGCTTTTATTTTTATTTAATATTACCAGTTTCAGTACTATTATTTTTTAATACTCCATGGATCTTAATAGGGGATTAAAACATGTACATATATTAAGCAGAAATTGTCTTTTATCAGCAGTGTTGTTGGAAACCAACCAGCTGAAAGCTGAGTCACACCACCCAGTGTCTCATAATTCTGAATCCCTTCCATCCTTTCTGTGCCACTGTTACTTATATGAAGACGTTTGGATCATCCTTGGCCATCCCGTTCCTTTTTTTTGTATCCGGTGCCACGTGCTTGAATTTTATTCTTTGTACACATCCAACCATCCTGAGTATGTTTGTAACCAACATTGTGATATTCTGTAATTGTATTGCTAAAAATGAACTATTGACTTAATAAATATAGTGTTCCTGCACGTTGCGTGGGTGTAATATTTGGCTGATCAGAAAAGACACCAATAGAAGATAATATTTATAGCTCAGGGTTGAACTTAAGGGTCCTTGCTGCTCTCTGAGCTGGGTGGTTTTCTTGCAGACGTTTCATGACCCAGCTAGGTAACATCATCAGGGCTAGAAGGGAGTGGGGATTGCAGAGTGGAGGAGAAGTAATAGTAGTAGGACTCTGGGGTCCTTGCTGCTATCTGAGCTGGGTGTTTTTCTTGCAGACGTTTCATGACCCAGCTAGGTAACATCATCAGGGCTAGAAGGGAGTGAGAATTGCAGAATGGAGGAGAAGTAATAGTAGGAGGATTCTGGGGTCCTTGCTGCTGTCTGAGCTGGTTGGTTTTCTTGCAGATGTTTCATGACCCAACAAGGTAACATCATCAGGGCTAGAAGAGTGGGGATTCAGAGTGGAGGAGAAGTAATAGTAGGGGGACTGTGGGGTCCTTGCTGCTCTCTAAACTCAGTGGTTTTCTTGCAGACGTTTTGTTACCCAACTAGGGAACATCATCATTGATAAAAGGAAGTGGGGTTTGCTCTCAGTATGTTATACCACTGATGACGTTCCCTAGTTGGGTCGTGAAACGTCTGCAAGAACACAACCAAGCTCGGAGAAGCACCAAGGACCCCTCAGTAGAAAGACAAAGTCCTCTGGGAAAAGACTAAATGAACTTGGAACAGTTCTGCTTTAGCGATAATCGATTTGGAACTATTCTGACATGACTTACGGAGCATTTTGGGATCTAGAAAAAAGTGACAGGTCCCAGATCTCTCTCTCTCACTTCGAGTTAATGGATTGGCTGAACCTGCTTACATCCAGGGCTTACATCGATGTGGCTTTGTTCACTGACAGTGACCCGCTGCAGCCTTGACATTTTCTTCAACAAAGCTGCTGATCTTCCATAAAATTTACTATTTTCTTTGAGGGGCAGGAGAGAAAAAGGAAACGTTTTTTAACGGTTTCCTATGAGGCTTCTTTTGAGGGTATCCGAATTTGCAAGATTAATAATAATAATATAATAGTAGTAGTAGCAGCAGCAGCAGCAGCCCCTGAGATACTGGAAGACTGCTATCATGTCCCCCCTCGTCCTTCTCTTCGTTAAACCAGACATACCCAATTCCAGCAGCCGTTCCTTATATGCTTTAGCCTTCTGTCCCCTAATCATCTTTGTTGCTCTTCTCTGTACTCTTTCTAGAGTCTCAGCATCTTTTTTACATCGTGGTGACCAGAACTGGATGCAGTATTCCAAGTGTGGCCTTACCAAGGCATTGTAAAGTGGTATTAACCCTTCGTGTGATCTTGATTCTTTCCCTCTGTTAATACAGCCCAACACTGTGTTGGCATTTTTGGCAGCTGCAGCACACGGCTGGCTCCTACTTAAGTGATTGTCCACTAGGACTCCGAGGTCCCTCTCACAGTTACTACTATTGAGCAAGGTACCCCCTATACTCTACCTGTGCATTTGGTTTTTCTTGCCTAAATGTAGAACCTTGCTTTTTTCACCATTGAATTTCATTTTGTTAGATAGCACCCAGTGTTTCAAATCTGTCCAGCTCCTCCTGTATCTTAAGCCTGTCTTCTGGAGTGTTGGCTATTCATGCCAGTTTGGTGTCATCTGCAAATTTGATGAGTTCCCCATCTATCCCCTCCTCCAAATCGTTGATGAAGATGTTGAAGAGCACTGGGCCCAGAACAGAGCCCTGGGGCACCCCACTACACACTTCCCTCCATGTAGATGGTGCGGCTTCACAACCAAAGGCCCAGCCCTTTTGTATACACGTGTTCCGAATGGATGGACTTTCCAGCTGTGACAATCCATCTCCAATTTACAGGCACATAGAGGAAACCCCCGACTTACAGCAGTTTGTTTAGTGAGCATTCAAAGTTACAACGGCATTGAAAAATGCCTCTTACGGCTGTTTTTCGCAGTTAACGACCTGGACAGCATTCTCTATGATCATGTGATCAAAATTCAGATGCTTGGTAACTGGCTCATAATTATGACCGTTGATGTGTCCCAAGGTCACGCGGATCTCCTTTTGCGACCTTCTGACAAGCAAAAGTCAATGGGGAAACCAGATTCACGTCACAGCTGGCTTACTAAATTATCAAACTGGAGTGATTCACTTCACAACCGTGGAAAAGAAAGGTCGTAAAACAGGGCAAAACGTCTGGAGAGAAATTTGGGGCTTAATTATCATACGTTTGGGACCGCCTACATAGACAAGCACATCTCCCGGAATGCCTCTGTTTCAGAAGGAATAATAATACTAATACTACTACTACTACTACTACTACTAATAATAATAATAATACCACCTGGAGACAGCAGAATAGACGAGAAAGAACTGGAGAAGATAACAAAATACAAAGACCTACAAATAGAAATAGAAAGACTGTGGCAAAGGCAAGCAAGGGTTGTACCAATATAGGCTCCTTGGCTGCAATCCCCAAACAATTGGAGCACCACTTGAACACCATTGGCATTGACAAATTCGCTATTAGTCAATTGCAAAAGTGGCCTTACTAGGAACTGCTTCCATCCTGCGACGATATCTGTAATACCATCAAACATCCACATCTGCCTATCCCAGGTCCTGGGTAAGGACTCGATAGGTAGACAAAATGCCAAATCCAGTCTGAACATCTGGCTGACTGTGCGATGATACATAATAATAATAATAATAATAATAATAATAATAATAATAATAATAATAATATTTCAAGGAGATTCATTATCTCCATTACTATTTGTTATTGCACTGTTTCCTCTGTCAACAATACTGAATAACTCAGGACATGGCTATCAAACATCAAAAACATCTGCCAGACTATCCCACCTCCTTTATATGGATTATCTGAAGCTGTATGGAAAAACATCATCTGAAATAGAATCGCTGCTCAACACTGTCCGTATATATAGCCAAGATATTGTAATGGAGTTTGGCTTGGACAAATGTGCCACACTTACTATCAAACAAGGAAAAATAATGAAAACTGAAGGAATCAAGATGCCCCACGCAAATAACATTAAGAGTCTGGATGAGGAAGAGTACTACAAATACTTGGGTATCCTTCAAGCTGACAACATCAAGCACACTGAAGTCAAGAAAAAGATTAGAGGTGAATACATCAAGAGAGTGAAGAAGATCTTAAAATCCAAACTCAATGGAGGAACTACCATAAAGGCAATCAACACCTGGGCAATCCCAGTCATTAGGTACACAGCTGGAATAGTGGACTGGACTCAAGCAGAACTAAAAGCAATGGATAGGCAGACCAGAAAAATAATGACAATGAATCATGCCCTTCATCCACGCAGTGACATTGATAGACTTTATCTACCAAGGCAAATAGGTGGGCGTGGAATGCTACAAGTACATCAGATGGTTGAAGAAGAAAAAATGGCTTTGGAATAATATCTGAAGAACAATGATGAAGATGCACTGAAATTAGTATATCAGGAAGGCTTACTGACTACTGGAGAGACCAAACTGGCCTACAAGAAAGACCAAATGAAGAACAGAATAAAGGCATGAGAAGACAAAGCACTACATGGCCAATAACATTAAAAAAATAGCTGGGAAAGCAGATAGTAACAAGACCTGGCAATGGCTAAGAGCAGGAAAATTGAAGAAAGAGACCGAGGGACTAATTCTGGCTGCACAGACCAAGCCTTAAGGACAAATGCATATAAAGTCAAAATTGAGAAGACAGCAACAGACAGTAAGTGCCACCTATGCAAAGAAGCTGAAGAAACAGTGGACCATCTGGTAAGCTGTTGCAAGAAGATTGCACAGACTGATTACAAGCAGCGGCATGACAAAGTAGCAACAATGGTGCATTGGAAGATCTGCAAAAAATATCATTTGCCTGTAAGCAAAAACTGGTGGAATCATAAAATAGAGAAAGTCATAGAAAATGATAAAATTAAACTGCTCTGGGACTTCAGAATTCAAACAGACAAGCACCTGCAACATAACACCCCAGACTTAACAATTGTTGATAAGAAAGACAAAAAAGTCTGGATAGTGGACGTGGCAGTGCCTGGAGACAGCCGAATAGAAGAGAAAGAACTGGAGAAGATAACAAAATACAAAGACCTACAAATAGAAATAGAAAGACTGTGGCAAAAGCAAACAAGGGTAGTACCAATAGTAATAGGCTCCTTGGGTGCAATCCCAAAACAACTGGAGCACCACTTGAACACCATTGGCATTGACAAATTCGCTATTAGTCAATTGCAAAAGGCAGCCTTATTAGGAACTGCTTCCATCCTGCGACGATATCTGTAATACCATCAAACATCCAGATCTGCCTTTCCCAGGTCCTGGGTAAGGACTCGATAGGTAGACAAAATGCCAAATCCAGTCTGAACATCTGGCTGACTGTGCGATGATCGATAATAATAATAATAAAGTTGGAAGGGACCTTGGAGGTCATCTAGTCCAACCCCCTGCTCAGGCAGAAACCCTATACCATTTCAGACAAATGGCTGTCCAGTCTCTTCTTAAAAACTTCCCGTGTTGAAGCATTCACCGCTTCTGGAGGAAGGTTGTTCTACGGGTTAATTGTTCTCACTGCCAGGAAGTTTCTCCTTAGTTCTAGGTTGCTTCTCTCCTTGGTTAGTTTCCATCCGTTGCTTCTTGTCCTGCCTTCTGGTGCTTTGGAGAATAGCTTGACTCCCTCTTCTTTGGGGCAGCTCCTGAGATATTGGAAGACTGCTATCATGCCCCCCCTCGTTGGAGCAAGTGGAATGGGCCAAACCTGACTCCTCCTACCCTAGGGCTTTGCAACCTCTTCCAAATAATAATTGGAAAAAACAGGTTTTGCCATACAGACACTATATTTAATGCCAATTGCCATAAATACTACATAGGAAGTGGATCTTGGACATTTTGCTAAATGTCTGCAAAAGTCTTAAGTTTGAGTGCTTCCAGAAATTCAAAAGAGTTGACGTACAGTAGTCCCAACGGTGTGAATTCTTATTTAATGAACTTTTTTTTTAAAGCTGCCTTTCTCCACGGTCTGTCTTTAATAGGGATTTGATGATGAAGAGCTGTCTGTTTCCTCATTCATAGTAACAGAAAGAGGAGCAGAAACGTAGCACGTGGCACCATGTTGGGACATAACTTCTTTGTCTTGAGTCGTTGAGCACCTGATGGACCGACACAAAAACCTTTGTGAATTTTGAAAGAGATACCTCTTTATACCTCACTAGGATACTGGAATAGCGCATCCAGGTCTGGTCACTGTGGTAGAGAAAAGATGCTGAGACCCTAGAACAGGGGTCCCCAACCCTCGGTCTGTGGACCGGTAGCAGGCCACAGCATGCCAGCAACTGGGCCGCACAAACAAGCCAAATCCCATCCGTGGGATGCAGGCAACACACAAAACCACGTACCATCTGGTCCGCAGAAAAATCTCTCTCCACGGAACCAGTCCCTGGTGCCCAAAAGGTTGGGGACCTCTGGCCTAGAAAGTGTGCAGAGAAGAGCAACAAAGATGAGGAAGGGTCTGGAGGCTAAATCGTATGATGAATGGTTGAGGGAGCTAAGTCTGTCCAGCCCCATGAATCAAAATAACAGAATAACAGAGTTGGAAGGGTTCTTGGAGATCTTCTAGTCCAACCCCCTGCTCAAGCAGGAGACCCTACACCATTCCAGACAAACGGTTGTCCAGTCTCTTCTTAAAAACCTCCAGTATTGGAGCATTCACAACATCTGGAAGCAAGCCATTCCATTCATTGTTCGAATTATTAGGAAATTTCTCCTTAGGTTGCTTCTCTCCTTGATTAGTTTCCATCTGTTGCTTCTTGTTCTCCCTTCAGGTGCTCTGGAGAATACCTTGACCCCCTTTTCTTTGTGGCAGCCCCTCAAATATTGGATTGCTATCATGTCACCTCAAGTCCTTCTTTTCACTAGACTAGACACCCACTTTCTGCAACCGTTCCTTACATGTTGTAGCTACCAGTCCCTTAATTATATTTGTTGCTCTTCTCTGCACTTTTTCTAGAGTCTCAACATCTTTGTGACATCGTGGTGACCAAAACTGGATGGAGTATTCCAAGTGTGGCCTTACCAAGGCACTGTAAAGTGGTATTAACACATCACGTGACCTTGATAGCTGGCTTTCATCACTGAGGCAGGACTAGAACTCACCGTCTCCTGCTGATTGGCTCAAAGTCACCCAAATGGTTTTCTTGCCCAAGGTCAGACTAGAATTCACCGTCTCCTGGTGATTGGCTCAAAGTCACCCAAATGGCTTTCATGCTCAAGGTCGGACTAGAACTCACCATCTCCTGATGATTGGTCCAAAGTCGCCCAGATCGCTTTCATGCCCAAGGTGGGACTAGAACTCACCGTCTCCTGGTGATTGGGCCAAAGTTCCCCAGATGGCTTTCCTACCTAAGGTGTGACTACAACTCACCGTCTCCCAGCGATTAGCCCAAAGTCATCCAGCCAGCTTTCCTGCTTAAGGCAGGATTTGAACTCATGACCTCACTTTCAATTTAGCCTGATGCCTTAACCCCTAGACCAACTCTTTACCTTTCTTTAGGCACGTTTCCTTCTGGGAAATCACCGCTTTCTGGCAGCGAGTGCAAATATTCTTTCCATTCCTTCATCTTCATCCCGCAACCAGCGAGCCTCCACCGATCACGCAGCTTTGTCAATTTTTTGTTACTGGGAAGGCTGGTCAAGTCAGCGTATTCCAAATGGCAGTAGGCTTTCTGCAATGTAACCACAGGAAAAAGAGGCAGAGGGCTGTGGCTGGCAAGGGAGGGGGGAATTTTTGAGTGAAACACAGCTAAGGGAACCCGTTTGAAGGAACTTGGGGAGCGCTTCCTATTTCTTTTTGATGGGCTTTTTTTCCCTGCCTAAATCTTACGTATTTTCATGTAAAATACTTTTTGTTTAATGTACACGCTCCTGGGCTTACTTTTTTTTTTTTTTGCACTGAGTTCCACCTTCAGCCTAAGCCAGGGTTGAGGAACCTTGGCTCTTTTATGACTTGTGGACTTCAACTCCCAGAATTCCTCAGCCAGCCATGCTGAGGGGAAAGGGAGAGTTTCCAAGCTGAGCCAGGCTGGCTCAGGAATTCTGGGAGTTGAAGTCCACGAGTCATAAAAGAGCCAAGGTGGCCTACTACTGATCTAGGCCAGGGGGAGGCAACCTTGGCTCTTTTATGATTCGTGGACTTCAACTCCCAGAATTCCTGAGCCAGCCATGCTGAGGAGAAATGGAGAGGTTTCCATGCTGAGCCAGGCTGGCTCAGGAATTCTGAGAGTTGAAGTTCATGAGTCATGAAGGGGCCTAGGCCTAGCCCAGACGTAGGCAACCTTGGCTCTTTTATGACTCGTGGACTTCAACTCCCAGAATTCCTGAGTCAGCCATGCTGAGGAGAAATGGAGAGGTTAACATGCTGAGCCATGCTGGCTCAGGAATTCTGGGAGTTGAAGTCCACGAATCATAAAAGAGCCAAGGTTGCCTAACCCCTGAAATAAACCACAACTGGCTGGGTTTCTATAAAGGCCAAAACTAATGTTGTTTTTTTCCAAATTTGATGTAGTACAGGTAGTCCTTGAGTTACAACCCTTCGTTTAGTGACTGTACAAAGTTATAATGGCATCGAAAAATGTGACATGACTAGTCCTCACACTTACAACTGATGCAGAATTCAGGCACTTGGGCACAAAGCCTGTATTTAGGACGGTCGAAGTGTCCTAGGCCAGGGGTAGGCAACCTTGGCTCTTTTTTATGACTCGTGGACTTCAACTCTCAGAATTCCTAAGCCAGCATGGCTCAGCTTGGAAACCTCTCCATTTCTCCTCAGCATGGCTGGCTCAGGAATTCTGGGAGTTGAAGTCTATGAGTCATAAAAGAGCCGAGGTTGCCTCCCCCTGTCCTAGGGTTACGTAATCATCACTTGCAAACTTTCTAGGCCGCTTCTGAGAAGCAAAGTCAGTGGGGAAGCCAGGTTCACTTAACAACCACATCGTTCATTTAGCAATTGCAGTGATTCATTTAACAACGGTGGCCAGAAAGGTTGTTAAATGGGGCAAAACTCACTTAACAATGGTCTGGCTTAAACGGAAATTTTGAGGTCGTAAACTGAGGACTACCTACATCTCCTTACTTCAGCTCAGACATTACAAGATGGCTGCCATTTGGGGAAGAACCCCCAATTTTGGGGAGCCCTCTTTGATATACGACAAAAAAAAAAAAAAATAGCCAACTGAGCCCCAGAGATTAATTTACTAAGGCAGCATTTTACTAAAACTTGGTCAGCTTAAATGTGCTTCTTAAAAGAATCAAGGATGGTTCATAATCAAACTTCCTGAGCGAGGTGGGAAGAAGATAAGTGTCCCTAGGAATGCCAGCCGGGTCAAAAAAGTCAAAATGGCCACAATCAGCTGACTGTTACCCTGCCCTGTTTTTCCCAAGAGTGATGCACATCAGAAGGGCCGTGGCTTCAATTGCATTGTCTTTGGCCCCTCCCATTTGACTTTTGGGAAATCCCCCTGCAGATACCTCTGGAAACCTTGCTCAATAGTAGTAACTGTAAGAGAGATCTCGGAGTCCTAGTGGACAATCACTTAAATAGGAGCCAGCCGTGTGCTGCAGCTGCCAAAAAAGCCAACACAGTGCTAGGCTGCATTAACAGAGGGATAGAATCAAGATCACGTGAAGAGTTAATACCACTTTACAAGGCCTTGGTAAGGCCACACTTGGAATAGTGCATTCAGTTTTGGTCACCACAATGTAAAAAAGATGTTGAGACTCTAGAAAGAGTACAGAGAAGAGCAACAAAGATGATTAGGGGACTGGAGGTGAAAACATATAAAGAACGATTGCTGGAATTGGGTATGTCTAGTTTAACAAAGAGAAGGACGAGGGGGGGACATGATAGCAGTGTTCCAATATCTCAGGGGCTGCCACAAGGAAGAGGGAGTCAAGCTATTCTCCAAAGCACCTGAAGGCAGGACAAGAAGCAACAGATGGAAACTAATCAAGGAGAGAAGCAACCTAGAACTAAGGAGAAACTTCCTGACAGTGAGAACAATTCAACCAGTGGAACAACCTGCCTCCAGAAGCAGTGAATACTCCAACACTGGAAGTTTTTAAGAAGAGACTGGACAGCTATTTGTCCGAAATGGTATAGGGTTTCGTACCTGAGCAGGGGGTTGGACTAGATGACCTCTAAGGTCCCTTCCAACTTTATTATTATTATATTATATTATATTGCATATAATCCTTACCAGGAATTTGGTGAATTGGTCTGTCTTGCTGTATCGGTACAGTTTATGCAGCTGCTTCTCATCGTAGGATGAGAAGAGGGAGACAAACCTCCACAGCATTCTGAAAAGCAGAGGAATAGCATTTTACAGCGGGTCCTCGACTTACAATCATTCATTTAGTGATGGGTTGAAATTACGTTGGTGCCGGAAAAAAAGAATACCCGTGACCAGTTTCCACACTGACAACTAAGGAGAAATTTCCTGACAGTGAGAACAATTAATCAGTGGAACAACCTGCCTCCAGAAGTTGTGGGTGCTTCATCACCAGAGGTTTTCAAGAAGAGATTGGACAGCCTTTTATACAGAATGGTACTATAGGGTTTCCTGCCTGAGGAAGGGGGTTGGACTAGATGACCTCCAAGATCCCTTCCGATTTGTTGTGTTATTCTAAACCAGTGGTTCTCAACCTCTGGGTCGGGACCCATTTGGGGTCGAACGACCATTTCACGGGGGTCGCCAAACAACGCGGTCCACCATTTTTTTCCCCCTTTTCCTTAGCTGTGCTACTCCCTTTTATTCTATTGGCTTTTGAAAGCCAATAGAATAGACTCTCTTGAATAGAGTCTAATTCTATTGGCTTTCAAAAGCCAATAGGAATTGTCCAGGCTGTCTCTGCCCTGCTGAGCCCGCCAAAAGTCCCATTCTGCAAACGGTGCTGCACCAGTTGAGTAGTCCTCGACTTACGACCGGTTGAGTAGTCCTTGACTTACGACCGGTTGGGGGTCGTGGCATTAAAAAGGTTGAGAACCACTGTTCTAAACAGCTACATGAAACAGATGGCTGGCTGGGGAATTCTGGGAGTTGAAGCAGGCCTCTTCAAGTGAGCCACCTTGAAAAATAGTGGCATATAAAGTGATTTCTCCCTTTTCTAAGCATCTTCTCACCACGAACCTTTACTTATACATAAAAAAAGAGATATTAATTTACCTTTCCAGCTCAGATCCTAATTTAGCAAAGGGCACACCAGACTAAAAAAAACTTATTGTGGATTTACCGCTCGCAGTTTCTACAAAGGACAAGTGATTTCCTTACTTCTTCCAGTGTTTCAGTTCCCAGGTTTTGCAGTAATGCTGAAGAAACATATTAATATGATCCCCAAGAATGGTGAGGTTTTTTCTGATGCAGATTAGTTTTCTTTCCTTCGGGAAATCTTTCGGGAAGTTCAGCCTCCGAAGGAACTTTTTAAAAGGTCTCAAATATTCCTTGCACTTGGGAAGAGAAAAGGCAGAGAAGTTGCAAAAAAAAAAAGAAATAAAAAATAGTTTCTGTGATTTGCTGCCTGGATCGATTCCCTGGAGTCATGGTTGACTTGAGGGAGACTTGATTATTATTGTTAGACCACTGGGCAATTTTAAGAGGTGTGGACTTAACTCCCAGAATTCCACAGCCAGTATGATGATGATGATGCATGCTGGCTGTGGAATTCTGGGAACTGAAGTCCACACCTTAAAATATGATGGCTAAGGAATTCTGGGAGTTGGGGACCACCCATCTTAAAGCATGCTGGCTGGGGATTCTGGGAATGGAAGTCCACCCCTCTTAAAGCAGGCTGGCTGGGGATTCTGGGAATGGAAGTCCATCCATCTTAGAGCATGCTGGCTGGGGAATTCTGGGAGTGAAAGTCCACCCCTCTTAAAGCAGGCTGGCTGGGGAATTCTGGGAGTGGAAGTCCACCCCTCTTAAAGCATGCTGGCTGGGGATTCTGGGAATGGAAGTCCACCCCTCTTAAAGCATGCTGGCTGGGGAATTCTGGGAGTGGAAGTCCACCCATCTTAAAGCATGCTGGCTGGGGATTCTGGGAATGGAAGTCCACCCCTCTTAAAGCAGGCTGGTTGGGGATTCTGGGAATGGAAGTCCATCCATCTTAGAGCATGCTGGCTGGGGAATTCTGGGAGTGGAAGTCCACCCCTCTTAAAGCAGGCTGGCTGGGGATTCTGGGAGTGGAAGTCCACCCCTCTTAAAGCAGACTGGCTGGGGATTCTGGGAGTGGAAGTCCGCCCATCTTAAAGCACACTGGCTGGGGAATTCTGGGAGTGAAAGCCCACCCCTCTTAATGCATGTTGGCTGGAGAATTCTGGGAGTGGAAGTCCACCCCTCTTAAAGCAGGCTGGCTGGGGAATTCTGGGAGTGGAAGTCCTCCCCTCTTAAAGGATGCTGGGTAGGTAATTCAGCGAGTTAAAGTCCACCCAATCTTAAATTGCTAATGTTGAGAAACTCTATTTTAAATGGATTCTGATGGGGCCATTTAAAGTTTTGGTGGTCCTGAGGCCACTTAAAAAGAGGACTATCATTAAGCCTCCTAACTTGTTACTAGCCATCCATAATCCACTGGGGGAAAAAACAGAAATAGTTTACTTTCTGTTTGAATATATGTTGTCACATTTTGCACTTTAGAGTCAATACAGCTAGCCCTCGACTTCCGACGACCACCGAGCCCAAAATTTATGTTGCTACATGAGACCTTCATTAAGTGAGTTTTGCCCCATTTTACGACTTTTCCCGCCACAGTCATTAAGTGAATCCTTGCAGTTGTTCAGTTGGTAACACGGTTGTTAAGTGAATCTGGCTTCCCTCATTGACTTTGCTTGTCAGATGGTCACAAAAGGGGATCAAGTGACCCTGGGGGGGGGGGACACTGCGACCATCACAAGTCTGAACCAGTTTGCCAAACGTCCAAATTTTGATCCCATGACCACGGGGATGCTGCAATGGGTCCTAAGTGAGGAAAACAGTCCCAGTCCCCCTTTTCAGCCCCGTTCAGTAACTTTGAACGGTCACTAAACAAGTCGAGGATTATCTGTAACTTCGGAACGTGAAAGCCTTAGTAACCATGAACTTTTGAGACTTGCAATTTTGAAGGTGTCCTCGCCAAGCCCATCCCCATAATGGAACAGCTTCACTTCGGTAGGCACCATCCTGGCGAGGGTCCCTCGGGCGGTGGCCTTGTTCAACTGGCAGAGCATCAGCGGCTTTGTGGTCACCTGCAATTCAGGTTAACATCTGGACCTGAGCATCTGGATTGCCTCCTACGTGTTGGGCAGAAGGAAAGTGAAGGTGGGAGTTTACTGTGGGCGTGGCCTGCCCACCTGAACATTCTGTCAGTTGACTTGGGCAGCCAATGGGAGCCCACCAAGCCCTATAAAAGTCCGAGCAGCAGCAGTTGGTCCTCAGTCTGATGTCGGGATGCCTCTCTGGAACCAGATCTTCCTTCCGTCTTGGGAGCTGAATCTCTTTCCTTGTCATTCCTTCCTTAGCAACTGTGACACAAAAGGCCGCACCTGCTACCCCCTCCCCTCCTGGTCATCCACACCACTCACAAACCCCGACTACAACTGTTGTGAACCCACAAACCATCAAACAAAAGATCCCTTAAGCCTTTCGGCCCATAGAGACACCTAAGGCTGAAACGGATTAAGCGCTTCTCCTGTTAGGAACTTGGCAAATACCGGTGACTCAATCATAACCAGAATCAGAATAAGAGCAATAGCACTTAGCCTTATAGCCCGTTTCACAGTGCTTTACAGCCCTCTCTAAGCGATTTACAGAACCAGCATCTTGCCCGCAACAATCTGGGTCCTCATTTTACCGTCCTCGGAAGGATGGAAGGCTGAGTTGACCTTGAGCAGGTCAGGATTGAACTCCTGGCAGTGGGCAGAGTCTGCCTGCAATACCGCATTTTAACCACTGCACCACTATGGCAAGGGAGGAAGGAAGGAAGGAAGGAAGGAAGGAAGGAAGGAAGGAAGGAAGGAAGGAAGGAAGGAAGGAAGGAAGGAAGGAAGTGAAAGAAGGAAGGAGGGAAGGAAGGAAGAATAAAAATAGCACGTAGACTTATAGACCGCTTCACAGTGCTTTACAGCCCTCTCTAAGCAGTTTACAGAACCAGCATCTTGCCCGCAACAATCCGGGTCCTCATTTTATCAACCTTGGAAGTATGGAAGGCTGAATCGACCTTCAGGAGGTCAGGATTGAACTCCTGGCAGTGGGCAGAGTCTGCCTGCAATACCGCATTCTAATCAAAGTGCCACCATAGCGAGGGAGGGAGGGAGGGAGGGAGGGAGGGAGGAAGGAAGGAAGGAAGGAAGGAAGGAAGGAAGGAAGGAAGGAAGGAAGGAAGGAAGGAAGTTCTTAATTTGCTTAGTTTCTATTCACAATACTAAGTTTCATTTTCTTTATATCTCTGTACAAGTTATGGACTGGTGTTTAATTTCAGGCTTCCATGTTATTTCAAATGATGTGTGCACAAATGCAAACACACATACACATATCATTGAACCCTTCCTATGACATTTAATATTTTGGACCCACACCAGTCTTTTTTTTTCTTTCTTCCTTTGCAGGAGACCACATCTACTTTATGGACTTTGGGGAATGTTACCGTACTTTCCGGCGTATGACGACTTTTGAGAGCGTTGAAATCGGCGCCGAACTTGGGGGTTGTCTTATACGCCGAGTCGTCTTATACGCCGGAAATAATGGTAGTTTCCGGCGTATAAGATGACTTTCTAGGCATGTGACTCGGCGTCGAAGACGGGGGTCGTCTTATACGCCAGAATATACGGTACATTTTCCCTTGAATCTTTTTCTTAACTAATTTGCAATTGTATGGTATGGACAGCTTGATAATTATCTTTTTCCACACTGAATACCTACTTTTAATGCTTACCATTAAAAAGGCAGAGTTACACATTCATCAGTTTCTAAAATAAAGTTTGATTTTGTTTATCTCATGTGGGATCGTTCTATGAGATTATTTTCCAAGGGTGGGGTGGAGGAAAGACTGTATGTGTGTGCATACACATCCAAACATACATATTTTTCAAAAAAATACCCGGACTTGGTAGGCTTCGTTGTTCTCCTCCTCTCTTTCTTCTTTCCTAGCTACTCTCTTGGTAGGGAAAATTTGGCTTATGTCCTCCCTATTTCCCAGGCTTTCCATTGTAGATCAGGAAGCCAATATGAAATGGGTTTGTACATCACTGCTTAGCCTGTGTGGAGTGTAAACATGCTTTTATGGCCTCACCCTGAGGTAAAAGGTTCCAAGTTCCTATAACAATCCCAGGATAATCAGGTTGTCTGGAAAAGGGAGAAGGATCTGAGAACAGAGGCCTTGATATTTTTATTTAAAAATGGGATAGAATTCAGAATTTGGGAATGCTTTGGTTCTTAACCTTCCTGCTAGCACAGGGGTAGGCAACCTTGGCTCTTTTATGACTCGTGGACTTCAACTCCCAGAATTCCTGAGCCGGCCATGCTGAGGGGAAAGGGAGAGGTTTCCAAGCTGAACCATGCTGGCTCAGGAATTCTGGGAGCTGAAGTCCATGAGTCATAAAAGAGCCAAGGTTGCCTACCCCTGTGCTAGGATGTCCTTCAAGGCTTTTACTGCTGTGGTGGTGAAGTGGTTAGAATGCAGTACTGCAGGCTACTTCTGCTGACTGCTGGCTGACTGCAGTTCGGCAGTTCGATTGTCACCGGTTTAAGGTTGACTCAGCCTTCCATCTTTCCGAGGTCGGTAAAATGAGGACCCAGGTTTTGGGGAGCAAATATGCTGACTCTGTAAACCGCTTAGAGAGGGCTGTAAAGCACTGTGAAGCGGTATATGCTATTCCTTCCTTCCTCCACTCTGCCCGCTATCTGCAGTTCGATCCTGACCGGCTCAAGGTTGACTCAGCCTTCCATCCTTCCGAGGTTGGTAAAAGGAGGACCCAGGTTTTGGGGGGCAAATATGCTGACTCTGTAAACCGCTTAGAGAGGGCTGCAAAGCACTGTGAAGCAGTATATAAGTGCTATTCCTTCCTTCCTTCCTTCACTCTGCCCACTGCCTGCAGTTTGATCCTGACTGGTCAAGGTTGACTCAAGCCTTCCATCCTTCCGAGGTCGGTAAAAGGAGGACCCAGATAGTTGGGGGTCATAGGTTGGTTCTGTAAACCGCTTAGAGAGGGCTGTAAAGCACTGTGAAGTGGTCTATAAGGCTAAGTGCTATTGCTATTGCTTCCTTCCTTCCTTTCCTTCTTTCTCTTCCTCCCTTTTCTTCTTCCCTTCTTCCTTATCTCCCTTCCTTTTCTCCTTCCTTCCTTCCTTCTTTCCTTCCTTCCTTTTCATGGTGGTGCAGTGGTCAGAATGCCATAGTGCAGGCTAATTCTGCCAACTGCCAGCATTTCGATCCTGACCGGCTCAAGGTTGACTCAGCCTTCCAACCTTCTGAGGTTGGTAAAACGAGGACCCAGATGGTTGGGGGCCATAGGTTGACTCTGTAAACCACTTAGAGAGGGCTGTAAAGCACTAGGAAGTGATATATAAGTACTATTGCTATTGCTATTCTATATGAGCTATCTTATGACATGATCCTGTCAATGCTGCTAATCTCGGATGTTCTTGCTTTGACAACATATGGAAATGTAGCCATTTTCTCTATTGATTTTAGAATTAGATGCTGCTGGGAGGGGAAATGTGGATGAGAGTCCAGCTAGCCATAACAATAATAACTCAGTCGTAGGAACCCAAGGACATTGGGCCCAGAGCTGATAGCATTTTGGTGGGCTGGAGAGCTGGGGAGAAAGCCCGGGATTCAAACTAATTGGGGAATGTGATTTATGACTGTTTATTGGAGGAGGGAATTACACTTTGTTACTTTGTATCCAGGGGAGAGGAATTTAGTTTCTGGTTTCAACTATGTAGTGCCGATACTTTGTTTCTCGAATAAAAGATTCTTTAAGGTAAACAATGCCTGAAAGTTCTTTTGAAGAATTTCATCTGTTAGAACCGTGACAGATCCCTAATATCAATTCCTTTTGTGGGATGTACTGATACGTGTAAACAAATATCTTTGTGGGGAAATGAGATTTGGATCTTGGCTATTCTGAATGAAACTACTTTATGCCTCCTCAGAAGCATCTTTTCTCTGATTGTCACATGTCCTCCTGAGGGATTTAAAGATGCTGAAAATGAGGGGCAGGAGTAAACACTTGTTCTGATCAAACCCTGCATTTTCTCAGCTAATTTTCTTTTAAGCAGATATTCCAGATTGTGTTTACTTTCCAAGAACCACCTCCTCCTCCTCCCCCTCCTTTATTTATTTATTTATTTATTTATTAGTAAAATTTATATGCCACCCAATCCCTAGGGACTCAGGGCGACGTACAAAATTAAAACAACAAGTATAACAATTAAAAATGAATACATTCACACAGCATGTCCCAATCGAATCCCAGCCCCCCGGGGACATCAACCCCAGGCCTGCTGGAACAGGAGAGTTTTAATGGCTTTCTTGAAGGCCGGCAAGGTGGGAGAAGTTCGAATCTCTGGGGGAAGTGGATTCCACCACGTCGGAGCCACCACAGAAAAGGCCCTTCCCCGAGGGCCCGCCAGCAGACATTGTCTGGCCGACGGGACCTGAAGGAGGCCCAATCTGTGGGACCTCACCGGTCTCTGGGAACTATGCGGCAGTATGCGGTCCTGTAAGTAACCTGGTCCTAAGCCATGAAGGGCTTTAAAGGTGTATAACCAACACCTTGAATTGCGTCCGGAGACCCACAGGAAGCCAGTGCAGCTCGCGGAGGATAGGTGACACGTAGGTGTACCTCCTCCTCCTCCTCCTCCTCCTCCTCCTCCTCCTCCTCCTCCTCCTCCTCCTCCTCCTCCATCCCCATCCTCTCCCTTCCCCTCTTCTGCTCTCCCTTCCTCCTGCATTGCAAACAATGCTCTGGGTCCATTCTTTATTCTAGATCACATTTTATTTTAGCCAGGGTGTGCTGGTCAGGCCATAAAGAATGCATTCACACACCACCTTAAGTCATAAAGTGCTTTGCTTGGTGTGGTTTTAATGCTCACCACAGACTGCCACAAAAGAGCTGCACAATTACTGATTGACCACTAGAGGGCATAAAAAAGTTGTTGTTTTTTTTTGCGATCACCCCAAGGGCGATGTTCCTTCAAGTTGGTCATTTGAAGATGAGTGGACTTCCAAGAATTCCCCAGCCAGCATGCTTTTATAGCTTTTGTACCACGGCTGTTTAACCGAATCACAGCGGTTGTTAAGGGAGTCACACAGTCATTTCTCAATCTTGGCAACTTTGAGTGTGGACTTAATAATAATAGTAATAATAATAGTAACAATAATAATAGTAATAATAATAGTAATAATAAATAAATAAATAAAAAAGTTGGAAGGGACCTTGGAGGTCATCTAGTCCAACCCCCGGCTCAGGCAGGAAACCCTATACCATTTCAGACAAATGGCTGTCCAATCTCTTCTTAAAAACTTCCAGTGTTGGAGCATTCACCACTTCTGGAGGCAGGTTGTTCCACTGGTTAATTGTTCTAACTGACAGGAAGTTTCCCCTTAGTTCTAGGTTGCTTTTCTCCTTGATTAATAATAATAATAGTAATAATAGTAATAGTAATAATAATAATAATAATAATAATAATAATAATAATAATAATAATAATAAACTGCTTCCAACCTGCAACGATATCTGTAATACTATCAAACATCCACATCTGCCTATCCCAGATCCTGGGTAAGGACTCGATAGGTAGACAAA